AAATAACATGTTTATTGTGGAAAAGCTAGGAAATATGGACAAGGAAAAAGAGAAAAATAAAATCATCCACAATCCCGTGACCCAGACAAATAATTGCTGTTAACTTGTTGACATAGGGCCTCTCAGTCTGTTTTCTAAAGTTTTACTTTTAGTAAAGGAATGGGGTCAAGCCTGGGGCACGTCTCAGCCGGTGGGTTGTCCCTTGCAAGAGTAAGCAGTCGTTAAATCATAATGCTCACAGATTCACGGCCAATTTGACCTGGATCTAGGTGGGTGTTCACGTCTATCAGCGCTAGTCCGGTGGGGAGAGATTAACAGCGTTACTAGCAGCGATGATACTTTTGTTAGACAGGTGTCAAACCAGGGTAGTTACTCCTAGGTGAAGCAAGGCTTTCGTCAGTGGCCTGGCATTTGGAAAGGGGAACAGAGACTGGGAAAGGAAATTCACATCAGTTAGCAAGCGGCCCGGGTTGCCATTCCAGTGGATAGTTAGAATGAAGAACAGGAATCAGGCATGAGGACAGGACACCTGGGGAAGGGTGATGTGAAAACTGTAGCTGTTCCAGCATGAGGAAACCTATGGGATCATGCAAGGGCATTGCCACCAGGACTTGGGGTGACAGGACTAATTTTAGCCCACCTCCTGGTGGGGACAAGCTGCTAATGTAGTGTCAAGCTGGGCAGATTTGATTAGAAACCAGGAGGAATTGAGCTGCTAGGTTAAAAGATTTAGTAACTGTAGGTATGTGGGGCTGGGAAAGGCAGAGATTGATAAATCCCAAACCTTTGAAGCAGTGAGATCCCACCACTATTTATTTCATTCCATGACCCATATAACTGTTGTATGCCATATGTCAGTATAAAATAATTAAAGCTAATTAAAATTAATTTTGGTTGGTGAGTGTTTAAAGAGTTTCATAATAACTCTTGAGATAATTAGAGATGCTTTGGGATGTCACAAAAAGAGCATTTGGAATAACTGGGCTAGATGTTTAAATGAGAGATGTGCAATGAAAGCTAGTAACAGAATGATAATTCTATAGTTGAAAGAACACCGAATCAGGAAGGAGGACTTTGGGGTTGTCCTCAGTATGCTGCTAAACTGGCCCTCTGAAATCAACAACAACAACCTGGCTTTGTAGCATTTGGGAGTTTCTGTGTAAATCCTCCCACCATGGTGGATTCCAGATTAGCAGTAGTTTAACTACTGGCTCACACCATTCCTGAATGTTCTTAAATCGGCTCTTGGAAGGCCGGCGCAAGGTAACTCCAGCATACCACCATAATCCTGACTGAGCCAGTTAGCTTTGTGGTCTTGGGTAAATCACTTCACTTCTCAGGATCTTAGTTTTATCATCAACAAAGTGAAGTCACTCGAATAACCTCAAGGTCCCGCCCTGAGTTAACATTCCAGTAATGTAGCTAGCTGGTGCTCAGGGCAGGACTAAGCACCATGTCATAAGCCAGAAGTGTTACATCAGATTTGTAGGAATGTTATTGTGATATACTGGAAAACATAATTGGATACCTGGGTCTAGGTCATAATCAGCCCTTTTTAGATTCCTGCTGCTAATGTGTGTGTCCTTCTCTAGTACCTCTTCTCAGGAGGATTAAAAAAGCCAATGGCTTACCAGTAGGGTAAGAAACCATTCCTGCGGTCAGAGAATTCTACACCCAGCTGCCAGGCCCTAGGAGTCAGCTGGGGGTCTGAGACAAAAATCTTATAGTTTAGGTATGTTACCTTCTCTGACCATGAGACCCACCCAAGCTGGTCTTCCCTGAACTAGTAGCAACATGAGAGGTTAACTTGTTTCTGCTTTTTGAAGTCAAGGACTGTGTCTTTCATAGTTATGTGTCTCAAGTCCTGGCACATAAAAGGCCCTCAGGAAGTGTTTGTTGAAAGAAAGAATGTGTGATTTGGGCCTTTTTAGAGCAAATTCTGAATTCTGTGTATTTCCCCCCACCTTTATTGAGATATAATTGAAATATAACATTATGCAAGCTTAAGTGTCTAACACCATGATTTGCTGAATTTTAAAACAGTGATTCAAAAGTGGACATAAGCTTCTCTATGTTTGCCTGAAGAAATGCATTTTTAAAATGCAAACAATGATTTTCTTTTTGTAATAGAAAACTTCTCAGTGCCTTCAGTTCAATATCGGGCATTTGCCTTCCATCTGCTGCCACAACCAGAACCCAACAGAGAGAAACAAGAATGAGAAAACCCCAAACCAGACAAACCAGGTGATTACTACCCACCAGTGAGGGCTCTGCCTGCCTCCACCAGTGGAATTAGCTCATCTTTTTTGAAAGGAAAAGGATCCTACTTATTTATAGAGCATATGTATTTCTATATTATGTGTCACTTTACTAACATCTAATCCTCATAATGACTCTCAGAAGCTAAGTACTATTACTCCTTTTTTATTTTATTTTTTTAAAGATTTTATTTATTTATTTGAGAGAGAGAGAGAGAGAGATATCATGCAGGGGAGGGGCAAAGGAAGGGGGAGAAGCGGACTCCCTGCTGAGCAGGGAGCCTGATATGAAGCTCGATCCCAGGACCCTGAGACAAAGACCTGAGCCAAAAGCAGACATTTAACCGACTGAGCCACCCAGGCGCCCCTCTTATTCATCTTTGAGAGAGGAGGAAGCAGACTCAGAGGTTGAGCTAGAGCTCGAAGTGGCTGTGAGTCAACACCCCACAGGGGGTACGCTTCTCCCTGGGGCAGCTGCCTCAGGCTTTCTGCATTTCCTCTCCCTGCTGTCCCTGTTCCTTGTTTGCTCTGGGATTTGGATGCAAGCGACAAGGGCTCAGCCCATGACCGGGCAAATAGATGCACCAGTCTCCGGCGGGGTTCTGAGCAAATGCGCCCGGTCAGGCCTGTCCCAGACAAAGGTAGCGGGGCTGGACTTCGCCCTAGTGAATCAGCTCTGTGGAGGCTGGGCGGTTGCAACAGGCACCTGACGGGCTGGAGATCTGAAGGCCAGGTAAGTCTTGGTAGATGTGGCACCTGGACTTTGACATTCCCCACGAGGAGAGAGACGCTCTTGGGCCTGGAGAATGCTGGAGGAAGCGGCGCTGGAGGAAGGGGGGAAGCCACCCAGCAGGTGTGTGGGGACGCCAGCCCCCTTGCTCTCTTTCTCTTGGCTGCGCAGTACTGTCGGATTAGGAAAAGCAATTTCACCCTTGCTGGGGCCAGGGAGGGTCACTTACGTGAATGCAAAAGTGTGGCTTGTCACCGTAGATGTGAGGTCTCCACTTTGAGAATCGTGGGTGCTTTTCGTTTGGGGTCCTTAATGATAACCTGAGGTCTAACCTATGGGAGTTGATATGTCAGCAACAGAATGATGTGATTTCAGCCAAGGGATCGGGTATTGTGCCTTTGCGACTGAAGAAGGGCTGTCTAGTGAAAATATCTGGGGACAAGACAAAAGAGGCTTTCTTCTTGTTGAGCTTACTCGTGTCCAGATGGTATTAAGTTCCATGGACTTTCAGGAAAGACCCATGTGCCCTTTCACTGTGTTGGGGCATTTGGCATTTGCTGGGATTTGCTGGGAAAGGCTTGCAATGCACCTAGCTATTTTCAAGGGAGGGGGCTGACACAGGAAGGAAGGCACAAGTTTTTCTGAGCTGTAATTGATCTTGAGGCGGAAGGCACTTCTCTTCTCGTATGTTCTGCTTACAGCTCTTGGCTCATAGCTTCATAGCTGTGGACCCTGGCCCCATGGCATTCAAGCACAGTGATATCTTGATTTCAACATATACTCTTTGACCCTTTGTTCTGATACAATTTTTTATGTTAGGCTGGGAGTTTCAGGAGTGGGAGCAAGTTAACTGTATTTGATAAGAATCTTTCAACCTAAAACAGTTCCCAAGAGAGAAAAAACATGGGGTCTGACTGAGCTAATATATTCTCCTGAGGTAGGAGAATCCCCAAGTCACCGGTAAGGGCTGATGTGTGCTTTCCCTTTGAAGGCAACTGGCAGTAGGTGCTCCTCTGTGATGCGGGGCAGAGGAACTTGGAAGACAATATGTCTTCAGAGCTATTTCTCATGTTGAAGAATAAGTGGGGAAAATTAATTTGACGCTGGGAAACTTCCAGATTTAAAAATTTCCAGCCGGGAAGATCATGGAGACATGGCTGGCTAGATGGTCATGAGAGCAATCCCAAACTTGATTCCTTTGGAGGAGGGGCAGCCATGGCCACATTATAGAGCCTTGTTCTTCTAAGAGGTTAAGGATTCAGAAAAGATGTCTCTTGAGGTCAATTTAAGCTTCATTTTGTTTAGGAAATGTCTTCATCCATTCATACTGCCCTAATCTTAGCTCTGATAACATCAACTACTGTTAAAACGAACAGTTACCATATACCAGGCAGTGTGTTGGGTGCTTTTCATAAGTTATCACTGACTCTGACAGTATCCGTGCAAAGCCAGTCCTTCTGGTCCCCATTCTATTTCTCAAGGAAATTGAGGCTTGAAAAAATTAGTGAATAAGTGGCAGAGTTAGGATTTAAACTCTGGCTAAGCTCTCAGCTTACCTATTTCTCTGAGAGCCGAGGGCCTCCACAGTAATTGTTGAAGGAATAATTGCTGGTGGGATAAATGAACAAACATGTATTTAATTAGAACACTTTGATAGTGTTTTGGAGCTTTATCTCTGTTTGTTCTCTGTCTCCCCTGCCTCCCACATCTATTATTGCTCCAAATATATTTTTTAATTTTTAATGCAACATCAGTATAATTGTCTATCTTGTTATTTATTTCATGTATCTGCTTGACATTTTTTCTCAGATATTTCTATATCAGTATCTGTGTGTTTTGTTTTAGATAAAAGATTTGAGGACTGTAGGTGCTTTTTTCGCAAAACCTAATCAATCATCATGTTTGGATATAAGTCTAAAATGGTGATCTTTTTATTTATTTTTTTCATCTGCAGGAAGAGAAAGTAACTACATAATCGATTAAAAACACGAGAGAAATTCTGAGGGTCAAGGATGGAATTTTGGGCTCCCCAGTGGCCACCGCAGCCACAGGGGAGGCCCACGGCACCAGCAAAGGATCCAAACCGAGGGCTTTGGAGAGATGGAATTCATCAGCCCGTTCCTCACTCTTGGCACAATGGAGAGAGGTACCATCAGTGGCAAGACACCCATGGGAGTCCGCCATCACAGCAGGACCCCAGGACAGACCACCAGCAGCCCCGTTATGTGTCCAGGCCTGGGGAAAGGCATCATCAGCCTGTGTCCGGGGTTGACTATTATGAAGGTGGTTATCCGAGTCAGTTGTATTCAAGGTATGGTTCTAGAGCTTGGAATTCACCCAACTCCTAAGTGCTTCTGAATAGATTATTCCTTTCCTTCTTCCTTTTCCTTTTATTCCTGCTCTTTTTCTTCTATTTCCTCCTCTGCTTGATTACATTGACTTCGCTAAACACTTTCCTCTCCCAAATTGGAGTTATGTGACAGAAAATAGTATTTCCCTCCTCTATGTCCCCTCGTGGGGCTTCTTGAAGAGGCTGTGACAGTGTGACTGGGTGTTGGGGCCAGGGCAGAGGGTAGAAAGAATGGTGGATTCAAGGCAGCAGATGAGCCCCTCTTACTCTGGGATTGCAAAAGGTAATATTTGTAGATTTTGGAAAAGTTTGTCCTAGAAATTCCTATAAAAAGTTCTTAGTGTTGTGAGCATTGACACCACCAGCACCAAGAAGAGACCCAGTGCCTAGAACAGAACTTAGGGTGTGATAGACACACAGAACAACTATGTATTGGATGAATACATGGAGCATTTTAGAAAATGAAATCAACCTCAGAGAAAGCAGATCTAGGGTTGCAGGCTCCAAGTTCAGAACGAAGAGGTATCAGTGAGGTAATTCTAGGAGAATCTGGAATTCCTCGTCCCGAATTCTAATTGATAGCAGAGGATTTGATATTTTATGGAATATTTGAAGCCATCTATGTTCCACTTTGGCTTTTCTGGGTGGGATATTCACCTGCCTACAGATTTAGGGTTGAAATAATGACAGTTATTGTAAAGCATTTGCTCCTATTAAATACTAAAGAATTAGTAATTGATAAAAAGACTAACAACATGATATTCCTTTCCCCAATCTTTTTGTATTGAATTCTCAAAGGAAAGTATGTTAAGGGCAGAGGCAATAAAGGCAATCAGATTTAAGAGAGTCCAATGTGACTTTTTCATCTCATTTCCATCTGTACGTAATATGCATGGGAATTACAGTGGTGTATTGGGTACCTACACAGTCATCTGAGGAAGGGGCATTCTAAGATAACATCAGGGCAGGGTAGGGGCACCTGGGTGGCTCAGTCAGTTGAGCATACTACTCCTGATTTCGGCTCAGGTCATGGTCTTGGAGTTGTGAGATCAAGCCCTGCATCGGGCTCCGTGCTCAGCGCAGAGTCTGCTCCTCCATCTCCCTCTGCTCCTCCCCCTGCTCACTCTTTTGCTCTCTCTCTCTCAAATAAATAAATAAATAACTAAAATCTTTAAAAAAATCAGGGCAGGGTTTTCTAAGATAAAATCGTGTATTGTTGGATGTATTTGAAGAGTAGGAGGAATCACGGGGAAGGAGAATGAGACACTTGGCTATGGTTTTGCTATAAAAATCCCAACTTTGTTCTGAAACAAAGGCCCTACTTCTGCTCTGATTCTGCATCCTCTGTTTATAGGATCTAGAATTAACTGTGGTTTTAAAGCGGATTCTAGACTGAGGTTACAACTTTGTCCTGTGAAGTTGTCAAGTCCTCCACTGGTTTCTCTTTACCCCACTCATCCTTGACTGGCTGGCCTTCTTTGCCGTATTTTAGGCCCGGCATGGAGGATCCGTATCGGAGCTATCATTCTTCAACCGTAAGGGAAGAATATGCTTATGGAAATTATTACTACCATGGATACCCGCAGCAGCTGCAGGAAGAAAGAGGTATGGAATAATCTCCAAGGAGCCTTTGGAATGGTACAGCTGATCTGGTAGACAGGGCCTGCTCAGAGCCTCACCTGGCTATCCTGCTCCACTGAGGTAGAGCCCCTGTCCTCACCTGCTTCTTTCTTGGCCAGATGAGGCCACAGCAGGTCACAGCAAAGGCACTACTGCTAGATGTCTTGAGGAGAAGAGACATAAAGGAGCCATTTTTCTTGTACGTGTCGGTGATAGTACTGAACCTACCATTACATTACCAGGATTATGGATAGTTCACACTTCAACCCCATTTTTTCTTCTACTCCTCTTTATGGCCAAGATTATAGTCTCTGACCAAGTAACAGTGAAGTCAATTCTTTTTTTTTAAATTTAAATTCAATTAGCCAACATAGAGTACATCATTAGTTTTAGATACAGTGTTCAATAATTCATCAGTTGCATATAACACCCAAGTGCTCATCACATCATGTGCCATCCTTAATGCCCATCACCCAGTTACCCCATACCCCTTACCCACCTCCCCTCTGAAACCCTCAGTTTGTTTCCCAGAGTCAAGAGTCTCTCATGGTTTGTCTCCCTCTCTGATTTCTTCCCATTCAGTTTTCCCTCACTTCCCCTATCATCCTCTGCACTATTTCTTATATTCCACATATAAATGAAACCATATGATAATTTTCTTTCTCTTATTGACTTACTTCACTTAACATAATCCCTTCCAGTTCCATCCATGTCGATGTAAATGGTAGGTATTCATCCTTTCTGATGGCTGAGTAATATTTCATTATATATATGAACCACATCTTCATAATCCATTCATCTGTCAATGGACATCTTGGCTCCTTCCACAGTTTGGCTATTGTGGACACTGCTGCTATGAACACTGGAGTGCAGGTACCCCTTTGTTTCACTACATCTGTATCTTTGGGGTAAATACCCAGTAGTGCAATTGCTGGGTCATAGGGTAGCTCTATTTTTAACTAGTGAAATCAATTCTTAGCAATGCGGTTGTCCAGTGTGTGGCTGGGCTGTGATAAGTCTGACAATCATCGACCTTGAGGGTGGCAGATATGCACCAACAGGAATTTATACCCATTACCGATAATAAGGTTCTACCGATGTGCTGTTTGCAGCTTCTGACCTGCCAGCCAAGGGAAATCTGTTTCAACACTGAACACACACACACACACGATCTCCATGCTCATACAGTTGTATTAAGCCATGCTAATTGGTTCAGGGAGGACTGAGGGGTGTCCTGTTGACCTCCATCATTAGCTCTCACTTCTCAATTGTATCCAATTTGGCAAATACGTTTTCATACCTATGGTGCTCCAGTAACTCAGCTTCACAGCTCGAGGCTGTGAAGGCTGACCTTTTAGGAGTAGGAAGTGACCTGTCTTCATTTTGTTTTCTCTGAGGGTGCAGTGCCAAGGGGAGAGAGTCCTTATATCTGGCAGGAAGATCACCGAGATCAGAAGTACCTCAGTGAGCAGCATCACGACAACCAGAATAGTCTGTAAGTGTGAAAGGAGAGGCCAGCTCAACATGGTGCGGCCAAACTCAGGCTATGTTAGGCAAGTCTTATGGCGTCTGGTGCTTGTCTCTATCTTCAGAACCCTGTCTGCTTCTGTTCTGGCCACAGGGATGTGGAGTAGCCCAGGGTGACCCAGGCCAGCTTTCAGTGGAGTCTTAACTTTGACAGGCGGCTCCTAAATGTGGGGGCATCTGAGTCCTGGTGAGGTTACTTGAGGTCCACCCTACAGGAGGGCCTTAATTCTATGTTGGCCTCAGAGCAGAGGTGGCCTTGTGGAAGTTGTCAGAATTGGGTCCTGGCTGAGGCTGGGGCGTTTCTCCTCTGCCCATTCCTGTGCCCCGAGAATGGGATGTCCCCTGGGGTAAGGTGGGCAGAAAAGAGCCTTTTGCACAAGCACCTGCCCCAGTGACCTTAGGCCTGGTGCCTTTGCCTTGTCTGCCCAACTCGCCAACCCAGCTGCTCTGATTTAAGTGAGTCTGGGATGACTGGCTATAGGGACCAGCCCCCTTCTGCAGGGTTTGGAGTGACTTCTAGTAACTGCACTGTGGAACCCAGGAGCTCCTGTTTTTCTTGTATTCATAGATCAGGGGAGCAAAGTGAGGACAGCCCTTTTCCCTGTGGCACTCAGGCCAGCCTGATGCTGCCCACGCTTTGCAGCCCAAGAGCCTCCATGGAGAGCAGCTCAGGTTTGCTGGCTTATCCAGGACCCCCTTGACCTGCTGCCATCATTTTGCTGCAGATCCAAGAGTCAGAACCCTTATAAAGACAGCGCTGCTTCTAACTCTGGACAGGAGTGGCCTGGGGACCTAGTTCCGGAGAGGCTGCTACCTGGAACCCAAAACAATAAGGTAATCTGAAGTGATGTGGGGGCTGTGGGCTGTGACAGTCACAACCAACACTGAATCAGTGGCAGGGCGGGGCCCTTGGGAGGGGGGTGTCCAGCGGCCAGCAGTCTGAGCGGTTGCATCCTCCCCTCTCTGCAGAGCCTCCCCTCAGACCTCTACCTTTTCTTGCCACCCTATTTCAATCTTATGGGTCTGGGGCCCTGATCTGGCCCTTTTGCATTTTTGTCAAATTGGCTGGAGCAGGAAGTGTCACCCAAGTCACTCTGAGCTGCGGGGCAAGAGGAGAGACTGTCGCCAGTACCCCAGGGGACGGGCAATTTGGTTTACCCGGGAAGCGGGGCGTTGCTAGAATCTTTTAATTCAGGTCTGAAAAGCAGAGTTGAAACCTCTCTGGACTCTTCCAACTCTCTCTTCTGAAATCTTACTGGGTATACCAGTGGGGCCACAAAATGGAGTTCTTAAATTTTTAAAAATAAACTTTTAATTTTATTAATTTTATTTTTTTTAAAGATTTATTTATTTGACAGAGAGAGACACAGCGAGAGAGGGAACACAAGCAGGGGGAGTGGGAGAGGGAGAAGCAGGCTTCCCGCAGAGCAGGGAGCCCGATGCGGGACTCATCCCAGGACCCTGAGATCATGACCTGAGCCGAGGGCAGATGCTTAACGACTGAGCCACCGAGGTGCCCCTAAACTTTTAATTTTAGAATAATTTTAGATTCATGGGAAAGTGGCAAAGATACTGCAGAGACAAGCTCTTGATTTTTGACAGTCTTATATTAATTTTGTTTCCATGATGCAATCTGTCTGCTTTTTTTTTTTAAGATTTTATTTATTTATTCAAGACAGAGAGAGAAGAGAGAGAGAGAGCATGAGCAGGGGGGAGGGGGAGAGGGAGAGGGAGAAGCTCCGGGATCGTGACCTGAGCCGAAGGCAGATGCTTAACCGACTGAGCCACCCAGGAGCCCTGAGATCTGTCTGCTTTTTGAAAACATTTTCTTCTGTAAACCTAATGCTCAACAGGGCAGGGCACACACTACGCAATATATGCCGACAGGAACAACAGCCACACACAAGAACAGCCCTTTACAGTGTGCAAAGGGCTTTCGCATCTATTTTTTTTATCCTCCCGGGATGTAAGTTCCATGAATTTCTTGTACACCTGTATCTCCGGGGAAGCACAGAGCCTGGAGCATAGCAGGTGCTCATTCAGTAGCTGGTGAATGAATGACTGAGGAAGTACTTCAACTCTACAGGGCAGATATGATTATATTACAGATGAGGGTGCTGAGCTCAGACAGCCTAAGTCATTCATCCAAGGTCACAGCAGGTGTTGACAAAGCTGGGATCTGAAGATTTATTTATTTTATTTTTAAGCCATCTCTGTACCCACTGTGAGCCTCGGACTCACAACCCCAAGATCGAGAGTCACATGCTCTGCCGACTGAGCCAGCCAGGTGCCCCGCCCGACAAAGCTAGGATTTGAATTCAGGTCTGCTGGCCTCAGGGCCTACACCCTTTCCACTAGGCCATCGTTCATTTTTTTCACAAACACCTGTCGATTAAACGAGCACTTCTTTTCCTTGTGACACATCCACATTCGATGTATTTATTTGAAAGTTTTGATTTTGCTGCTTTGAAGGAACACGTGGGTAGGACCATCTCTCTGAAAGCGTTTCTGAGTCTTCTCACGTGTTTTCATTACCGGTAACTTCCAGCCACCACTGGCCGACGAGTCCAACCTTCTCCGGCAGCACGAGTCCGGTCTCAGCTCCAGCGCCTATGAGCTCAGCCAGTACATCGGCAATGCGTCTGAGATGTACGAGCCCAGGGCACCAGCAGCTTGGAGTCCAGTTCAGGCCGGTGGGTACTGAAGTGACCTAAGGAATGGGTGAAGTCTGATGAGAAGAGGGCCGTGTGGCAACCTCTGGGAAAGTCACCCTCCCTCTGTCCTTCCAAGAGTGGCTCACTGCCTGCCTCATCCACGCGTGGCGGTCTCCTGGGCAGAGGCGCCATTTTGGCTCCATTTCTCACCTTTTCTCTTGTCCTGGAGATTGCATCAGAGCTGATTCTTGGAAGGGAACCCTGCTTCTAGCCATCAGGGTCAGGCTGGGAGAGGAGGCACGGAGATACTTTTATGTCACAGGTGCAGAAAGTGAAGACCAGAGTCAGTTTGGTAATGCAACAGCAGGCATACAAAACATAGCATAATTGTTTTGCTTGGAGGTAGGAGACAGGTCATGAGTACTGGGGCTGTGAAAGCCAGAGTCCCCAGCCTCTCACCATCACGAGGAGGCTGGGCCTGGTGCTTTCCCATTTGGACCAAACCATCAAATACCCACCTTATATTCTGACATATTCTGTGAGGCTTAATTCTGACTTGGAGCACACGCTTCTTCTAATTATGCCACCTGCCCAGAGACTTATCTTGGCCCAGGTGGGATTTGGATAGAAACACTTCTGTGGTGTCCTTCTGCAGTAAAGGCAAGCAGTTGCAGGAATGCTAACAGGGTGCCCCTGTGTCTGTTGGTCAGAGGATGTCTCAGCAGCTGGTCCCAAGGAGCCCATGAAGTTCTACATCCCTCATGTGCCTGTGAGTTTTGGGCCAGGAGGCCAGCTGGTGTGTGTGGGTCCCAGCTTCCCCAGGGATGGACAAACGGCCCTTGTGGAACTGCACAGCATGGAGGTAAACGAGAGTCTGTGTCCCAGGGAGCCGGCAGGCTGCTTTCTGTTTCCCTCTGCCTGAGCCTGGGCATCTCTGGGAATGGGGTGCTCTTGTGGGGAACGGGGCCATGCACTCGGTGGATGGGGGCATGTCTTGGGAAGGAAAGGGTAGGGATCTTCTCTCAAAGAAGTGAGGCTAGATTTATGTTTCTCCTGAGATGCTGTTGGCTCCCTTTCAGCAACTGGAGAACTCATTTTGTCCTCCTATGTCCCCCACAAGGCACTGAGCCACATTCCAGGACGGCAGCCATGGGTTCTGATATTGGACTTGACCGACAGGGGCCTTGGGTGGACATAGTCTCAAACGCCAAATCTGATTTTTCGTTCCAGATTATTCTTAATTACTCCGAGGAACAAGAAGAGCTGAGGACTTTCTCAGGACCCCTGATCAGGTAAATTATCTTAAGAGCTGCCAAGTGAGGGCTTTTGAACCTATAAAATCTGCCTGCCCAGATCAGCATTTTGGGGATTTGTTCTTGGCTTCCTTGAAAGAAAATGTCTATCCCCTGTGGAGTAGAATACTCTGTGCAACAAGATAGAGACAAATGTGGCCTGAGCCATTTTGACAAGCAATTTGATAGTTGAAGGGCCGAGAGAAAAATTAAGATTAAAAATCTGAAAACAGTTCTATTTTGCAGGAGCTACACGGTAGGAGGTTTCAGCATTCTGAGAACTTAATAGGTACTGGTAGAAAAGTGGAGCACAGCCGGGGAAATCACAGACAAGTGGTTTGGAGTGGGAAAAAAATTCTTGCCGTTTTTCTGGAGAGAGAAATAGCATGGTTCCTGTTGAGTTTTTGGATAGTGTGCACGTCTGCCCTCTGCAGGATTGAGCTAGAACTGCTTTTAAATTCCTAGTCCTGTTTCTGATACATATTCAGGACACTCTTGCTGTGGAGAGTCCTGGCTGGAGTCAGAGGACCCCAGTCCTTGGTCCCTGCATCCTACTAACTAGAGGTCCCATGGCGGACAGGTCAGTTAGTCCTCTCTGAGCTTTAGTTTGCTGTTTAGGAAATGAGGTAACACCACTGTGCCCGCTTTAAGTGTAGGGAAGCCCTGTATATATCATCACTACCATATAAACTTATTCTTATCCTGAAGCTTCTGCCACCAAGAAAAGCCCATAGTATTTTTTTAAAAGAATTTATTTATTTACTTGAGAGAGAGAGAGAGTGAGAGAGCAAAAGAGAGAGCCGGGTTGGGGTGGGGGGGGGAGAGAGAGGGAGAAGCAGACTCCCCACTGAGCAGGGATCCAGAGGCAGGACTCGATCCCAGAACCCTGGGATCATGACCTGAGCTGAAGGCAAACACTTAACCGACTGAGCCACCCAGGTGCCCCAAGCCCATAGTATTCTGACAGTTCCTTCAAGTAAAGGTGAGCGTTGAATCTATTTCTGCACACAGGTATACGGATGTGGGGTAGAGTGCCGAGCTAGGTGTGTGGACACTAGGCGTCTGGTCCCAATTTGACTGATATTATTGAATGACCTCAACCAAACAATATTTGCCCATTTATTGATTACTTAGTATATGCTACAAAATTTCCTAATTCCTTTTATATGGAGGTAGTTTTTTTCTCATTATCCCTATTTTAGGGGAAAAAGCAGAGGTTCAGACAGGATAAGAACCTTGTATAAGCTGAGAAGTCCAGGCTGGATTTAAACCCAGGGTTGTCTGACTCCAAAGTCTGTACTCTTGCTTGCTGTCCCATGCGGTCCCTGGGCCTCAGTTTCTTCATCTGTAAAATGGAGAGGGTATACGAAGAACCTCTGAGGTCCTTTCCGGTTCTACAAGGAAACTACAGACTCGGTACTCCAATCCTGGGTTATCTGGCTTCTCTCTCAGTCCCCCCACCCTCTGCTGACATCCTCATAATGCATAAAGCCCACGGTCCTGTGCAGAGAGTCTGCCCCTCATTCTTTGCTCCCTGAAATCTCGCCATAGGGAAGATGTACACAAGGTGGACATCATGACATTTTGCCAGCACAAAGCAGCTCAGAGCCTAAAATCTGAGACAGAGAGGAGCAGAGACTCAGCTCTACTGTGGCAATTGTTGGTTCTCCTTTGTCGGCAGAACGGGGTAAAGTATTATCGCTCTGGTGGGTGGGCAGGTGCAGGCTGGATTGAAATTGAAGTCTTTCTGGGATAGAGAAGATTCGGCTTGTGGCATGATTGTAAAAGATAATGTTAAGCAATGAATGGCCCACAGGGGAAAAAAATTGCTCAGGTGTCAACCCCGTTTGCTAATGATAATCTTTTCCCTGCCCTTCTCCACTGGCCTGGGGTTATCGTACAGTTCTTGGGTCACTGTGCCAACCACATAATACACCTGTAAGAGTGTGCATAGTTCTGGTAATCTCTGTGGCTCCCGACAGGCAGAAAGTGCCTGAGAGTGAAGCTGAAGTTTGAAATACAACAATCTAAGAAAGGAAGGTCTTGTGTTTGCATGTCCTCCTCATGGAGAAGGCAGGTGCTCTGGTGCTGGCGCTGTGAGCACGAGGACAATAGGATTCTCCCTCAGGCTGACCCTCTTTGCTTTGTAGTCCATGGTGGGGTCTGACATCGCGGAACTGCTGATGCAAGACTGCAAGAAGCTGGAGAAGTACAAGAGACAGCCGCCGGTGGCCAACCTCATCAACCTGACCGATGAGGACTGGCCGGTGCTGAGCTCAGGGACCCCGAACCTTCTCACCGGGGAGATTCCCCCCAGCGTGGAGACACCTGCACAGATCATAGAGAAATTCACTAAACTGCTCTACTACGGAAGGAAGAAGGCAAGTGTGGCCCCTCCATGCTGGTTTTTAAAAAGTAACCACACCCCACCCCCAATTATATGAGTAATATATATTCATTTTTTGGCACTTCAGACGTTCAGTAAGGTACAAAGAAAAAAATTATATAGTCTTATCATTAAAAGATAACATCTTTTGGGGTGCCTGGGTGGCTCAGTCACTTAGGCATCTGACTTCAGCTCAGGTCATGATCTCAGGGTCCTGGGATTGAGCCCTGTATCAAGCCCTGCATCGGGCTCCACAGAGAAAGACATGTATCATATGACCTCACTGATATGAGGAATTCTTAATCTCAGGAAACAAACTGAGGGTTGCTGGAGTGGTGGGGGGGTGGGAGGGATGGGGTGGCTGGGTGATAGACATTGGGGAGGGTATGTGCTATGGTGAGCGCTGTGTAAGACTGTCGAATCACAGACCTGTACCTCTGAAACAAGTAATACATTATATGTTAAAAAAAAAAAAAGAAGAAGATAGCAGGAGGGGAAGAATGAAGGGGAGGAAATCGGAGGGGGAGAGGAACCATGAGAGACGATGGACTCTGAAAAACAAACTGAGGGTTCTAGAGGGGAGGGGGGTGGGGGGATGGGTTAGCCTGATGATGGGTATTAAAGAGGGCACGTTCTGCATGGAGCACCAGGTGTTATACGCAAACAATGAATCATGGAACACTACATCAAAAACTAATGATGTAATGTATGGTGTATGGTGATGTAATGTATGGTGATTAACATAACATAATAATAATAAAAAAGATAAAAACAAAGAGAAAACAAGAAAAACAACAACAAAAAGCTTCTTCACGTATACACAAAATTAGTTTCCAGAAAATTTGTTTACAAATGATGTCCCCACCAACTATATCTAACGTTTGCCTACCAATATCGAATACTTTAATTTAACAGATGAAGTAATGTCTTGTTTATTTCTTGATATGTAAATTAGACAATTTTAATCTTTAGGTTATTTATTCAAAAAATTTTAATTGAGGTATTTGACAAAATTATAGGATATTTAAAGTGTACAACATGATGATTTGATATACAAATATCACAAATACATTGTGAAAGGATCCTCCCCATGGAGTTAATTAATAACATACATCACCTCACATACTTACCTATTTTTTTATGCCTTGTTTAATTTTGAAGTTGAACTCACATTTTACAAAAGCCTTTTTTTTAGAAGATTTATTTATTTGTCAGAAAAAGAAAGAGAGAGAGAGAGAGAGAGCACGAACAGGGAAAGAGGCAGGCAGAGGGAGAAGCAAGCTCCCCGCTGAGTAGGGATTCTGATGCGGGACTCGATCCCAGGACCCTGGGATCATGATCTGAGCCAAAGGGAGGCGCTTAGCCAACTGAGCCACCCAGGCGTCCCTCACATTTTACAAAAGTTTTAAAGGAAACGTAAATATTGGAATATATGACGGAAATCAATTTGAATCAATATGATTCAAAATTCAAAAGATAAAAGGAATATAGTGGGGAAAATGATGCCCCCATCCTCTTGGCCACTGAATTGCTATCTCTGAAATATCCAGAGATATTTTCTGCATATATAATTATTTTCTCCATTTTTAACAGCTTACTATATACCATTTCTTTTTTTTTTTTTTTTAAGGTTTTAAGTAATCTCTACACCCAACATGGGGCTTAAACTCACAACCCCAAGATCATGAGTCGAGAGCTCTACAGCCAGGCACCCTCTAGCTTCCATTTCTTCACCTTTTTTGTCATTTAACAAAATATCTTAGAAAACTATATTGGGATTGTTTTCTGTAAAAGGACAGACAATAAATATATATAGATATACACACACATACATAAAATGTTATTGATTTAAGTAATCTCCACACCCAATGTGGGGCTCGAACTCCCGACCCTGAAATCAAGAGTCAGGTGCTCTTCATACTGAGCCAGCCAGGCACCGCAGACAGTAATACTGCTCAGTTCTGCTATTGTCAAGTAAAACCTGCCACAGACAATATGTAAATGAATGGGTGTGGCCGTGGTTTTTTTTTGGACATAGAAATTGGAATTATATATAATTTTCATGTGTAATGAAGTATTATTCTTTTTTTGATTTTTTTTCTCCAATCATTTAAAAATGTGAAAAGTTATCCTTCGTTTGTGGGCTGTACCAAAAATAGACAGTAGGCTGAATTTCGCCTTCAGGCCACATTTTCCTGATTCCTGCTCCTTTTTTTTTTTTTAAGATTTTATTTATTTGAGAGAGAGAATGAGAGAGAGAGAGAGCACATGAGAGGAGGGAGGGTCAGAGGGAGAAGCAGACTCCCCGCTGAGCAGGGAGCCCGATGCGGGACTTGATCCTGGAACTCCAGGATCATGACCTGAGCCGAAGGCAGTTGCTTAACCAACTGAGCCACCCAGGCGCCCTGATTCCTGCTCCTTTTAACATATAAGTACCTTCTTCATTATTTTTTATGGCTGCACAGATTTCTAAAGATAAATTATAATTAATTTAACTAAACCCTGATAGATTGACATGTAGATGATTTAACAGTCTTTTGCTATTACAAATAATGCTGCAACAACGAAAGTCATTTTGCCATGTGGGAAAATATACATATGATTTCTAGAATAGTTCCTGGAAATAGCAGTGTTGAGTCCAAGGGTATATAGCTTGAAATTTTGAGAAAGTGACAAATTGCCTTTTTAGAGGTTTCACCGATTACTCTACCCAGCAATACATGCTAGTGCCCGTTTTCCCACTCTCACCAACTCCATGTGTTTCCAAGCTTTTAATATGTGCCAGTCTGAGAGGTAAAAAAATGTATGTATAATTTAGTGTAGTTCTTTTCATTTCCCCTATTATAAGTGAAGTCTAATATCTTTCAATCTGTGAATTCTTTTGTGATGGATTTTTTTTTTAAAGATTTTGTTTATTTATTTGAGAGAGCGAGAATGAGAGAGAGAAAGCACGAGAGGGAAGAGGGTCAGAGGGAGAAGCAGACTCCCCGCTGAGCAGGGAGCCCGATGCGGGACTCGATCCCAGGACTCCAGGATCATGACCTGAACCGAAGGCAGTCGCTTAACCAACTGAGCCACCCAGCGCCCTGTGATGGATTTTCTACATTTTTCTGTCTGACTTTTGATCTCCATTTATTGATTTGTAGGAGCTCTTTACTTTTTTTAGGACTTTCTGTACAAAATTACTTTTTAAAAAAATTTTTTATTGTTATGTTAATCATCATACATTACATCATTAGTTTTGGATGTAGTGTTCCGTGATTCATTTTTTGCATATAACACCCAGTGCTCCATTCAGTGCCCTCTTTAATACCCATCACCAGGCTAACCCATCCCCCACGCCCCTCCCCTCTAGAACCCTCAGTTTGTTTTTCAGAGTCCATCGTCTCTCATGGTTCGTCTCCCCTTCCAATTTCCCCCCCTTCATTCTTCCCCTCCTGCTATCTTCTTTTTTTTCTCTTAACATATATTGCGTTGTTTCAGAGGTACAGATCTGTGATTCAACAGTCTCACACAATTCACAGCGCTCACCATAGCACATACCCTCCGCAGTGTCTATCACCCAGCCACCCTATCCCTCCCACCCCCCCAAAATTACTTTTTTGGAGTGATAATTAGAAAGGCTTTCCTAGGGGCCCCTGGGTGGCTCAGTTGGTTAGGTGGCTGCCTTCGGCTCAGGTCATGATCCTGGAGTCCCAGGATCGAGTCCCGCATCGGGCTCCCTGCTCAGCGGGGAGTCTGCTTCTCCCTGTGCCCCTCCCCCCTCTCATGTGCTCTCTCTCTCATTCTCTCGCTTTCAAATAAATAAACAAAATCTTAAAAAAAAAAAAGAAAGGCTTTCCTACTTTAAAGTTAAGTTATGAAAATAAAGTTTAAGTATTTTGGTGACTTCACCTTTACATTTGAATTTTTAATCTCTGTTTACTTGTATATGATGTTATATTTTGTTTATCTTTAAAATATTTTATTTATTTGAGAGAGAGAGGAGCACAAGTGGGGAAGGGGGCAGAGGAAGAGGGAGAGGGACAAGCAGACTCCCCGCTGAGCGAAGAGCTGGATGTGGGGCTTGATCCTAGGACCTTGAGATCATGACTTGAGTTGAAGTCAGGTGCTTAACCAACTGAACCACCCAGGCGCCCCAGTGATGTTATATTTTAAAATGAATGCAAGGCATGATACTCAGGGAAAATCAGTGGGATCATATGCTAGCCATCCCTGTTCACTATATAGTAGGGACCTGCAATTTCACCAGTGATTTATTTATTCAGTAAACATTTATTAAGCAGCCACTACTTCTAAGGCATTGAATCCAGTGGGGGATACAGAGATAAATCAATAATAATCTCTTTCCTTAAGAAAGATTAAGTAATGACCATAACAATAACGATAACAAAAGCAAATATTTAAAAAATACTTTCTATGTACCAGGCACTTAGTTAACATGTTCCATGCATTGTCTCATTTATCTTCATAGAAATCCCTGTTAGGTTAGGTTCTATTCTTGTTTTATGGACTTACAAATGAGGAAAGTTACGGAGTAATAAAGCCAGCATTCAAATCTAGGCAGCCTGATGTCTGAGCTTGGGCTTCTAACCATCCACCACACTACCTATCATACCTGGGTCCAAAGGTGAGCAAGGGGTAGGAAGAGTACTCTGGGAGTTCAGAATGGCTCATGAGGGCTGGAGACCAAAATATCTTTCATATCTTTATTAATATTTGACTGGCGTCTCATCTCTGGCACTGTGTGAGATTAATATCCTCAATGTAATTTACCAATTTCTCCACTTAAATTATATTTTTGGAGATGCAAATTTGTGAGCAAAGTGGTGATACCCCACCAATTATTAGTAATTCCCTTAAAAAAATACTGTTGTGAAATAGTTTAACATATGAAAAGAGTAACTCAATGTCATTTTTCCTTGTAGTGGATGTGAGGCTGAATTTCCTGATGGTAGTGGTTTAAATTTGTTTTCTCTCTTCAAATAAGGTAGTGTGGGAGATGTTAGGATGATCAAAGAAATTTGCACCAGGAGTTCAAGTTACCTCATTAGTGACTTCCTGTCCAAAAAATCACATTATTTTTGAGTACTAAGGAAATTATTAACACCAGGTCAAAACCTCAAATATAAATTAAGCTCTTACTAAATAATTCTGAAAATTGAATGAAAAGATGAATGTGAGTGTGTCTTTGTGTGTGTTAAAATTTACAGCTTCTTACTGATCTCACCAAGTTAACGGTGTCATTCATTTGGCATGTGAAGTTGATAGCTACCAAACACTTGGTTGTTAACAAGCAATTAGTTATAATATTAGGTGGGGCAGGTTAACCGCTATGCATACTGGCTTAAACACTTCTTTCTATTCACATGGGAGTCCTGGACGGTGAACAGAATGGCGGGGCACTCCTCCTCCACGGAGTAGTTCAAGGACTCCACATGGAGGAGGCTGTACCATCTGAGCATCTTCCTTCCAGCCAGCCCAATGGGGAAAAGGGCATGGGGGACTGGGCAAGGGGCTTCTAGGAGCCAGATGTCGAAGAGGCACACATCATTTCTATTCTCAAGGGAAGGCTGGAGAATGGACAGCTTAGAGAGAAATATGTGCCAGTTAGAGCCCATTTCCCCACTGCTGCTCTGGCACACTCACAGTTGAGGCTCTGAGTCTTCCTGGGAGCCCAGTGGGTATGGCTCGGGGGCGGCGGTACCCAAACACCATCATTTGTTGTCGGTAGAGGAAGATGAGGAGGTCCATGTTGAATGCGATGTGTTTTTGTTTTCAGGAAGCCTTGGAGTGGGCCATGAAGAACCACCTGTGGGGCCACGCTTTGTTCCTCTCCAGCAAGATGGACCCAAGGACCTACAACTGGGTTATGAGTGGGTGAGTGAGCTGGGCGCTGGCAAAGGAGACCAATGGAGCAGAGAGGCCTCCCCGCCCCCCCCACCAAGGGAGGGGTGGTAGGGAGAAATGCAGGATGCACTGGGAAGCCCCACACACCAAGCATCCTTCCAATTTCTCTTTTCTGACCCAGACGTAGGATATCACTTCTCTAGGTTCTCATAACCTAGACTTGGACACATTCTTTCTACCTGCTTGATAAATAAACATTTTAGTCATATTTCTCAGGGTGTGTTCCAAAAATTACGTAGGTTTCTACAATCTGGTAGTTCTCTCTGGGAGGGGCTATTCTAGATAGTTCCACTAGTGAGGGAATAGGTGACCACTTATGGCTGACAGGAGCTTAGACCTGAGAGTTAGGAGTTGTCTATCACTTAGTCTTGCAGTGGGGAATGTGGGTGCTGAGAGGAAGGTCGGGATATGGGGGAGCAGTAGGAACGGGCTTTATAGGGCTGGGGATTGGATATGGCAGTCTTCATCTAGGGCGGGGGGACATGACGAGACCGAAGAGATGTGTTTAGTCAGAGATCATACCGGCACATCGAAACCGGGAAGAATGCCCAAACCAGGACGAGACAGGATGGGAGGTTGACTACATGGCCAGGAGTTTGGAATAAGGGGGAGTAGGTGGAAGAGCTGGGTGTCAGGGTGCTGGAGAAGGAAGGGTTTCTGAGCAAGCTCAGATCCATGAGAGGGCAGGGACAGACATGGTGGGGTGGAGAGGACTGGGGGCACTCCTGTAAGGGGCGGGCTTGGATCTGACAGGGAGAAGGGTGTTCCCTCAAAACGTTCATCTTCCTGTGTTGGTGGAAGCTGTGAAGCTGTGAACCCCTCAGTTGAACTCAAGTTTAAATTGGCCATAAATGGGCTGTTGGGCAGTTGGCTGGGAAGATCGCACTTGCCTTCAAGGCTGTCATGTTACCCTTCTGCATCCGTGGATTCTCTTTTCTACCCTAACCCTCAGTCTTCCCAGGGACTAGGAATGCCTCTGCGCACTTCATTACGCTCAGGGTGTTGAGGAGCACTGGAGTTTTATTATGATAAGTGCTCCGAGCTCCCGAGGCAAGGGTGCTATTAAATAAAAGACCGTATTCTGAGAGATGATTCTCTTTTGGGTTTTGGAAATGAACATCCTACGACCCCACGTTAGAGCATACATCTCTGCTACAGATTTTTGCCTTGGGCCATTGATTTTTGATGGGGCCCAGTGAATTGTGAAGAATATCTCTTACCGAGTGTGCTTAAATCTCAAATCAGCTATAGAGCTTATTATATCCTTGTTAAGCATATCCCACGGTTTGTCATCAGCGGGATCATTTCTGGTCCCTGTTCTACGCCTCTTTGGTTACTGGACATGGGTATTTAGTGCTTGTGCGTAAAAGCACTGCCGAGCCAGTCTAGTCGTGAGCCAGAGAAGCCAGCCCTGAGCACTGTGGGTGGGGCATGTGGGGGGCTGCTTCAGGGGAGGAGGAACTGAGGGGGACGACTGGGGAGGAGGGGCCCACAGAGAGGAAGTTTGGGTTAACTGCTGCGGCTCTCCGGGGACCTGTGAAATGTTGGGGCATCATTTCCATGACAAAGAAAGCCTAGAGAAATGGTTACTCAAGAGTTAGGGCATCAGTGCAAGAGTGCAGGAAATATCCCCCAACAGTGAGCTCTCTGGGGGGCGGTGGGTGGAAGGAAGATCCTGCCAAGCCCCCCAAAAGTGGGAGGTAGCAGAGGCACAGCTGAGAGGCAAAGACAAATTTGTATTCCAAAAGTAGCTGCTGAAATCAAATAGAAATATATGGGAGCTTTTGCCCCACTGGCAATGGGTAAAAGGCCCTCTTGGCTTGGTTGCCACTAATGGTCACCTCTCTCTGCAGCTTCACCAGCACGCTAGCCGCCAACGACCCACTGCAGACCCTCTTCCAATTCATGTCGGGGAGGATCCCACAAGCAGCCACGGTACTCTTTGTGATGGGACTCCTTCAATACCCCAGCATCCTAGGGGTTTAGGGGGAGGGGACAGCTCGGGAACAACGTGATGACTTTAATGATTTTTCTTTTTATTTTTAGAGAGGGGATAGAGGGAGAGAGAGAAAGAGAGAAAATCTTAAGCAGACTCCCTGCTGAGCGCACCTACTGTGCACTTGGCCCTGTGCTGAGCACTTGGCTTCATATTATTTCATTTAATGCACAGAGGTAGGAATTATTGTCCCCATTTTGCAGATGTGGAACTGAGGTGCAAGGGTGTAAAATGACCTGAGATCACAGAGCTTGGAGAAGTGGAGCCAGGATTGGCTCAGGTCTGTCTGATCCAAAGACCTTGCCCTTTTCACGGTTGCACAGCTGTCTGCATGGTGTGCGTGGATAGTGAGAGAGCGCGCTGTTCCCGGGCTTCCTGCAGCGAGGCTGCCCTCTTTCCCTCCGCTGCACACAGAGCCTGCAAAGCTGGGCATATTCGATCTTACACGTTGTCTAGAGTTGGATATAGCTCAGGAGAAGTCTGAGGCCAGCCTAATGTTTTTCCCATGAAAACAGACTTGATCTTTTTGCCCCAAAGTACCCTTCTTTATCCTTGAAGTCAGTAACTTTACTGGGATCTATCTTGGTGTTGACTATCTGGGTCAGTTTTTTTTCTTGGTACACAGCCTGCTCTTTTAATATCTGCGTTCATATTTTACAGTTCAGGAAAGTTTTCTTGAATTATATCCTTCAATATTTGTTTTGTTCCATTATTTTGGTTTTCTTTGAGGAATTCCATGTATGCATGGTTTCGTATATATATGAATATATACATATACACAGGCGGATTATATGTATATCATTTTCTCTTTAATTAAAACACTTTTTTGTTTCCTTCCTTCCTTCCTTCCTTCCTCTTCTTCTTCTTCTTCTTCTTCCTTCTTCCTTCTTCCTTCTTCCTTCTTCCTTCTTCTTCTCTCATTTCCATTCTGTGTGTCCCTTATTGTGTTTTCATCAGTGTCTCTTCATTGTTGTGCTCTTGCCATTTTTGTCTTGATTTCTTTGATTCTTCCCCACTTCTTCCCTGAGCTCTGCAGGTCACATTTACCTCTTCCTCTTGTCTGCTGTCTCCTTCTTGAGTTCTTGTAACTTAGCTTTAGGTCCTTGCTTCATAAGAAATTGTTTCATTACTTTACTTAAATTCATGATGAAATGTTTGCTGATACTTCTTTATTTGTTTTGTGGTTAACATTTTTCCAGTGAGTGTTTTTTCTACCTTCCATGTATTTTTTCATGTTAGTTCCCTCCTTTTATCTTTATAGTGAATTTGTATAGATTCTGTTTGATCCTTGCCAGGAGTGGAGTCTTCCCTGGGCCAACTGCTTGGGCTAAGTCTGTGCTGGGGAGGGGCCAGGGCCACAGTACAGGCTGACTGGCATTTCCCACATGATCTGGAGTGTTCAGTGGGTACCTGTGTAGCCTTGGCTTCTCCCCAGCCAGTGGAGATGGCTGTGAGATCCTCTCCTTCTGGAGTTATCTTTCTGCTTCCTCCTGAACTCACCTTTGTTCAATCTCTACTACTTTTGGCAGCTTTTTCTTGCATTTCAAATTTTGGGTTTTTGCTGACACCTAGTTTTAATGAAAACAAACTTCACACTTTCCGTTTTTTATTCTTCTTGTTGCTTCTGGACAATTCCTAGAAAAGAAAAGAGAAATGATGACTTTCCTGCCCCATGGTCAAGCCCACTGGCTGTATGGGAACACAGAGTGCTCACGAATCCGCTGAATGCTGTGCACGGCCGTGAAATTGCATCATGTCATGAAGCAGGAAATGATGTAATCAACATACAGTCCATTGGGTCTCCCAGCAAATGGCAAATGCTCCCTGCTGTTAGGTGAGAAAACTGAGAAGCCAGAGGTGATGTGCCAATGCAGTATTTCATCTTAGTGTTTGAGCGTTCCCTTGCATCATGGCATCGAGCAAGAGGCTAGTCTTTAATTACTTGGAATGAGTGGAAAAAGCATGGCAACCAGAAAACCCAGCTGTGGGCTTCCATCATAGGTGTAACCAGAGTCTACTCCTTCCCGTTCTGTGAACTTGGCCTTCTTACTTAATCTCAGAATGTCAGGCTTTCCTCTTTGTGGGCATTTTGATGCCTCACCAATAGAGTTATTGTGCAGATTACAGGAGAGAGAATATCTGAACACATGTCAACCACCATGCTTGACCTACTGAAGTTAGTTAGGTGTTCGTTCTCTCTTTTGTGTTCCTTCTCTCCATAGATCGGCTTTCCAGTGAGTTTTTTCAAATCACCTAGGGAAGAGACAGAAGAATGACTTCTAAGGGCTTGTTCTTTTCAGCAAGGATTTTTCTTTTGCTTATTCCTTTAGTTCCAGCAAGAAAGGGCCTGGCCGATGTGGGGATAATAATAGTACCCAATGCATGTGATTGTCCACAGGAGAAATGCTTAGCACTGGGTATGGTTCATGGGCAGAGCAGAGTGAGTGAGAACTGCTATTCTTGGGATTTATTATCATCATCCCCCTCATTCACACTGCATTACCCAGATAAACAAAGAGCAACCATAAAATGCAGTTGGATAAAGCATCTTTTGTTCCTTGGGATAATTACAAAGACCAAATAATTATGAATTATTCTGACCTCCAAATCTTAGCTATTACTACTGTCCATTTCCTTCCTTCCCTCCCTCCTTCCTTCCTTCTTCCTTCCCTCCTTCCTTCTCTCTACCCATTCTGTGTAACAAACTGGGAGATGGACTGGTCTGCAAATCACCTTTCCTTTTGCTGGGCTTCAGTGTGTGTGTGTGTGTGTTTGCACCTACATGTCAATTATAAAGAGCAAACTAAGTGCAAAGCACTATGCAATGTGCTTTACTGGCTATCTTATTTTATTATCAACACTAACCCTGTTAGGTAGAAATGATGATCTCTATTTAAGAGGTGAGGAAAAAAAGGTTTTGAGAAACTTGCTCAAGGTCACAAAGCTAGTAAGAAGCAGGACTCCAGGGGCGCCTGGGTGGCTCAGGCAGTTGAGTAGCCAACTCTTGATTTCAGCTCAGGTCATGATCTCAGGGTGGTGAGATCGAGCTCTGTGTGGGGCTCTGCATTCAGCGGGGAGTCTTCTTGGAATTCTCCCTCTCCTCTGCTCCCCCCCAACCCCACCCCCGCACACTCATGCTCTCTCTCTAAAATAAATAAATCTTAAAAAAAAAAAAAAGAGGTAGCTGAATCCAGGGCCCGAGTTGTTTCTGTGATGTCGTATTGTTTCTTTATTGATATTTCCTGTCCTGAAATCCCCCTTCATTCAGGAGAAGGGAGACCCAAGCCCCATCCTTTGTGTGGGGTATTTTCCCACTTCCCCTGCTCTGTGTGCACCCTACTGCCCCCTTGTGGAACTCTGCTGCTCCTGCATGGTCACCAGAGGGAGTGGGCAGAGCCCTCAGCTGAGAGCAAGATGAATGGGGACTGGGTGCTGGGCTGGGCCACGTGGCCTGCTTTCTTCGTCCTTTGAGTGGCGATAGGAATTCGATTTCTAGGGTTGTTGTGAAAGTTAACTAAGGTTATGTGTGTGAAAGGCCTTTGTAAAACCAGAAAACACAAGCCATGCGGTAAGGTATTAAGGGTCTAGGGTTCCCCTGACTTCTAACTGGCTAATGTGGATTCTTCATATGAGTCAAGGATGTTTGGTCCTCCTTCTCCCACTGAACCATCAGGGTTTGTTTTGTTTTGTTTTTCTGGATGTTGTCCCTCGCTGTTGGGATCAGGAGCAGCAGGAAGAAATTTGAAAATCAGGAAGTGATCCATAGTGTCATTTTATTTACCTACTTCCCGATATTCCTCTGAATGTATGTATGTGCACGTGACTGTCTGCTACCCATCCTTCTAGGAGTCTTGCTTTTTAAAAGGAGATCTTGAAATCAACGAAGGACAGCACTGCAGGAAGGTGTAAGCACACATTCCCTGAACTCCAAAGTAGGAGATGGACAACTTTCTTCTCCTACGCTCTGGCTAGCCCTACGTTAGTCAGTAAATCTCCCATTTTGTCTGCTGCCTTTCAGTGCTGTGCGGACAAGCAGTGGGGAGACTGGAGGCCTCACTTGGCTGTGATTCTGTCGAATCAGGGTGGGGACCCGGAGCTGCTTCAGCGAGCGATTATCACCATGGGGGACACCCTGGGTAAGCAGAAGCCAGCCCTGCTACTCTCTTCTGTAGGGAGATAGACAAACATCTGTCTGTAGGCTCTTAGGTGCTATGCAGGGCCCAAGTCTGGGCTCCAGGCTCTCCTTTGACCTAGGAGCCTCCGTGTTTGGGGGACAGAAAGGAGTGTCATTCTTGCCTCCATTTCCCAGAATTTCTGCTGCAAGCCAATGCAGTCTAGGCCCCCGAGATTTGGGCTGTGCGGCTATAGGAAGCAACTCTCAATGGTTGGCTTTCTATCCCTGGTCAGATTCCCCTGAAGATGGAGTTAACACTGGGGGACCTCAGCTCCTGTTATGGTTAGTCGTACAGTGACTCAGCTCGGCCAGATAGCAAGCTCTGTCTTTGCCTGAGCTACCCTGGGTAATTGTGGTCTGTACTTGTATTCTCTCTCATGAACGCGGCCTTATGAACACTTAGGGGCTATTGGATGTTCCAGATCAGTGGTTCTCAGATTTGGTCAAGGGGCAGAACATCTAGAAATCATGATAGTCTTTGTAAACGTTGTGGTATAGCGCTCTGTTAAACTGAAAATAGCTGTGTGTAAGGTTTGCCAAGTCAGCTAGCAGGCTGCTTGCACTTGGTCAGAAGGGAAGGAGGTTTTGTTTAGTCCTTCCTGGGTGCCAGGCACTGTGCTGGGTACTTTACCTACTTGAATTAATTCAATTTTGAGGTAATGGGAAATGTATGGGAGAACATTCTGTAAATGGGAACAAGTTGGTGATTATTGTGAATTTTATGAGCCCTGGGAAAAGTTTCCTATTGTTTGACTTCAGTAGGAGAAGCATTAGTGCCCCAAGAAGCCTAATTTAAAAACGGCTACTCCCCATGGCCCCTGTCTTTGTTCAGCTGTATGCATCTGCTTCCTTTTCACCCTCAGGAAGGACTAAAATGCTTAGCAAATTCCTAATCACAAATACAGGAGGGGAACAGGAATTAGCAACCTATTCTGACCGAAGAACACTGGAATGTCCAACTGAGGCCAAGAACGCGGGTGGGAGGGAGTGTGCGGTTTGGGGCATGTGACTCCTGATGAGAGCCGTTCTCCCCTTCGCCCCCGTGAGGACTCTCCTGTCTGACCCCTGAGCACCCCTGCCGTCCCTCTGCCATCCCGCCCAGAGAGTGGGTCCCCACACGGCATGCTCTGTGACTGCGGCTTGCTCTCCTCCTCCCGCAGCGGGGAAGGGGCTGGTGGAGGCCGCCCACTTCTGCTACCTCATGGCTCACGTGCCCTTCGGCCACTACACCGTGAAGACAGACCATCTGGCCTTGCTTGGCAGCAACCACAGGTACGTGGTCCTCTGGGGAAGGGAGCGGGAAGGACGTTTTCTGGGGGATTGTTTTAGGCCGGGCTGGGTTTCTCGGCTCCCTTTTCCATTTTCCCCTGTGAATTTCAGCTACTGCTGCTCCCTTCCTCTGGGTCTTTTCTGCCGGGAGCTGGGCAGGCAGGTGCCCGGTGGGTGCCACATCACACCAACAGGGGGCCTCAGGCCCCAGTCCTGCTCCCCCAAACTGTGCTTGTGTGCCTTTGGGGTGTACTGTGCCCCTCTGACCACTGGGTGGCACCCTGGCTCCACGAGCAGAGGTCACCTCTTGTGACTCGTTAGTGCGATCCGTGCGGCTTGTGGCTCCGTGTTAGGCAGCCCTGGGCGGGCTCAGAGTCCGCCCTGGGCGGAACTGGCGATTGGAAGAAGTTTATGCTTACTCCTTACACCGCTACACTGACTTGGTGCACAAGCTACTCAAAGTCTCACCTGTTACTTATTCTTTGTTGGCCATAACATTAGGCTTTTCACGCAGAAGGATCTTCATAATCCTGTAGACAATGAATAAATGGACAGAAAGACTCGTTTGCTTCCATAGCAGTCCTCCGTGTTCTGGATCTCTCTTCTCCCCTCCCGGTAATAGTTAAGATTTCCTAAGCGCTTACACCGTGCCAGTCATTTTACTTGCACTGTTTCCTTTAATCATTACAAATTGACCCTATAAATAAGGTATATTTTTAACCTTCACTTGACAGAGGAGGGGAACCAAGGCACAGAGAGGTTAAGTAACTTACCTGAGATAGCACAGCTAGCGTGGGGTCACCCTGGACGTGGAACCCGGGCCGTCAGGCTGCGGAGCCCTGACTGATCACTGTTGTGCCAAGTGTCCTACCTCTGCGGAAATGTCGGTCTCGTGGCCAGGTCTCTCCGGTCATGGTCTCTGATGGCGTCTAGTTGGCTTGTCACATCCCATCTGTGCCCAATGTGGCAAGAAATGCGTAGGGCTTCATTCATCTCCCTCCTGTGTGTGTGTCGCATAAGGGCATTTCTGGGGATAGCCAGGAGGGACCGTGAGTTCAGACAAGCTGTCGGGGCGCGTGGAGGGGTCTGGAAGCCCCTTGGATCACCTTCGCTCAGCCCACTTCCCCTTTAGCTGAATGGACACCCGGCTCAGGGACTGTCATTTGATTTTTGGCTCAGCTGTCCTCCCCATTCTCGGCCACCTTTCTCAGTGCTCTTGGGGCCCCACATCACTCCCTCTTCTCTTTTGTTCAGGCCAGGAGTGGCCTTGCACAGGTGCACGTTCTAGGCCTTCAAGGCACTAAGGTTCTCTCTCAGCATGTTTAAGAGGAGCACCCAGCGGCCTGCCGAGGTGGGAGGGAGAGCACCTTGCCTTAGGGGACCCTCCAGCAAAGAAGGTGGAGGACCCCCCCTTTTCTGCAGTCTTTGCTCCCGGGCACCTCTGATGCAGGCCTCTGTTCTGTTCCATCCCCAGCCTCAAGAAGGTGGAACGAGAGGAGGCCAAACATTCACTCTGGAGGCCCAGAGCGTCTTTCCCGCCTGGGAGCTGTCCCGGGGATCAGCCCAGGGCAGAAGCTCTACCACAAACGGTGCAGCTGGTGTTTGTCTGCTAGGATTGAAACCCCTCCCCTCCCACCCTGCCTCAATTTCTTTTATTATTATTCCCTGGTTTTAGTCAAGAGTTTTTGAAATTTGCAACGACCGAGGCTATCCAGAGGACGGAAATCTTCGAGTACTGTCAGATGCTGGGCCACCCCAAATCCTTCATCCCTTCTTTCCAGGTAACGGGTGACCGTTAGCAGCTGGATTTCCAGCTTTACTATTTGGCACGGAGTAGCCGGGCTAAGTCATTGACAGCACTTTTCCTCATTAGCTTGAGTATGGGAAGAGTTAGGATTTCTTCCTAGGTCTTCTAAAGGTCTGCGTTTTAAGATATGAAAGCAAAACACGGCAGCGCCCCCTCTGCTGGAGGCTCCTGCCTCCCACCTGACAAATGGAAATTAGCCAGTGTCCTGGGGTCTCCGCTCCTCACACCTGCTCTGCAACAACTTCTGCTGTGCTCTCCCCAAACAGCTCTCCCTTCTCCTCTGCCCCTTGGCCATCCTGCCGGGGGTGGGAGAAGGAGGCCCAGCGCAGGCACTGCCCAGCCTGCTCCCTCTGTCTGACCTGCTCCTGCCATCTCTTTTGGACCCCTCTGTCTTTGAGCTCTGAAAGTTCCTCCTGGCTCTGTCCCCGGTCCTCACTCTTCCTTCTTCCCCTTGGGGCTTCTGCTGTGCAGGTGGCGTGCACGCTGCGGGTTCTCCTCTCTTCTCTCAGCTTCTCTGCTGGATGCCCTGTTGTCACCTCAAATTCATCAAGACTCCTTCAGAGCCTGCCCCCAGAGTGCACCCAGCCACACACACACACACACACACACACACACACACACACTCACCCTCACCCCACAACACAAAGCACAAAACCAAACCTTGAAAATGAGTGAATTAGTTATGAGAAGGGAAGTGACCCCATTAGTAACTTCTTTCGGTTTTTTACCAAAGACTCTCCTTCCCCGGCAAAGCTGTGCTGGACCAGCTCCCTCTTGAACAGTCCTTTCATCCCTCTCTCTCTTCTTGGGTCACCCCCCGCTTTCAGTCTCCTCTGGGCTGAGAGTAAGGGCATTAGCTAGTCTTAGTGAGTACGCTCTAGGTGCGGGCATAGTGCTTTTGTGTTTTTAGGGTATTATTTCTCATCCCGTGAGGTGTGCATGATTACCTCCCTTTCCCAAAAGAGGAAACTGAAGCTCAGAGGAGTTACATGCTCTTGGCTCACATCTCTCGCCTACCATTTGTTCCAAGACCTTTGCGTGGATTGTCTAATTTAATCTTTACAACAGCCAAAGGGTAAATAGTATTATTATCCCCATATTATAGTGAGGAAACAGGCACGGGGGGGTGGGGTAACCAGCCCAAGGTGGCACACCCAGTATGGAGCTGGGATTTGACCTTGGACCTGTCTGATTCCCAAACCCTCACGCTCCATCTTGCTCTACCCCTCATGCTTCTGTGAATACCTGCTTGCTCTGCATTTGAGTCATTTCTTCTTCCTTTCTATGTACCCCCTGGTGCCTGGCCCTCCACCCCACCTACACCAGGCTTTCCAGGTGGGTGGGCTTCCTGATAAGAAGTAGTCGGGTGCATTTCGATGGGGACTCAGTCTATGGAGACTGAGCTAATGATGACTGCCATCACTCTCTCCATGACGCGGGACCAGCAGGCTGGATTTGAAATTGTGCCCATACCCAGATAGGATGCCCCAAATGGCATGAGGCCCTCCTTGAGATTTGGATGGCAGAGTTAACGGGAGCTGGCCGTCAGCTGGCTTCCAGGAAGTCTTATCTGCATTCCTCTCCTTCTATGCCTGCCTGGATGGACTCCTCACTGGCCCCATTCCTCTTCACAGGTGTATAAGCTCCTTTATGCTTCCCGGCTGGCAGATTACGGCCTTGCGTCCCAGGCCTTACATTACTGCGAAGCCATTGGCACGGCCCTCCTTAGCCAGGAAGAAAGCAATCACCCTGTGCTATTAGGGGAACTCATCAAGGTGAGTTTCTCAAAGGGTTCTCTGCAGGTGTTTTATCTTCAGCGTTCAGAGAAAGCTATTGTAGAGCAGCTTAGACTCCACATCTCCTTTGAACATGCTGGAAAATTGGAGCCCATGGCTGTCTTTGACCACGTATGCGTGCCCAGGTGTGATAAGCAGAGTCCTGACACCACATAAAGAAACAGGCAGTGGGTGGACGGTGGTGGGATCGGGAGATGGGAAACCAGGCGTGTGCTCTGCCAGAAACTTAGTCTTGCAACTGCTTTTCTGGGACAGTGAAACTGCATGTTACGGTGAACCGTTCTAATTATAAACGCCGGACTTGGAAAATATATTTTAGTGATTAAAACAGGAAATGATCCTTATTAAAATGCTTTTAAATGCATGGAATATTTTATCACATGTGGGATACGTTTAAAAAAGAAAACAAAAACAAATCAACTTTTAGTTCCTGGGGAAGAAAACAATCAGGCAAATAGTTGTTCCAATTAACCGAAGAAAAATCCATTAGCTAGAGAGTTCAGCAGCCCACTGTCAATTTTTGCTTTGCTTTAGATAAGGCCCGAGGGTTAGATCCTATAGCCAACCCATCTGTAGTGCCGAGCCCCCTGCCCCTGAGGTGTCTGCCAACAGGCCAGGGGCTGTAGCACCTCAGGGACCTGGGATGGAGGAGCTGGGAAGTTTGGGGACTTCATAAGGGAGTAGAATCTTGCAACACAAAGTAGTCCCTCGACCAGCAGCATGGGCATTACTTGGAAGCTGGTTAGAAATGCAGACTCTCAGGCCCCACCCAGAATTCCGGGATCAGATTTAGCATTTTAGCAACAGTCCAGGTGGTTCCCCGGAGCACTGGAGTTCAGGAAGCCTCGCTAGAGGCTCTACCCCTCTTTGCAGAGATGCAGAGCTGGGTAACAGTTTCTTCTTAGATCTTATGGAGGATCTAACGCCAAGATGGGTTAATTGTTTATTTATGTTGCAATTTCGGGAAGGTACCTGCTGAATTTGCTACCTCTCAGTTATTCTTGTAATCTAATTGGCAAGGGCGTGAAGACTGTCTTTCTCCCATTCCCTTATTGCCTCCTTGCCCATTGTGTTACTGTTTCTCCTTTCCCCTCTCTTACATTCACCCCTGACCCCACTGGAAACCTGGCACAGCTAGCAGAGAGACTGAAGCTGTCAGATCCCTTGGTTGTAGAGAGACGCCGTGGAGACAGGGACCCGGAGCCAGCCTGGCTGGTGCCCCTTCGCAGGCGGTGCGAGGAGCTGGCGGTGAGTGGGGTTGGAGCCGGGCCAGGGGCTGAGACCTTTGTTTCTTTCTTCGTTCCCCTAGCACCGAGTAGGCAGGCACTGACCTTGGCAAATCCCCGACCCCGTGGAGGGCCCTGAAGTCCCCCAGCACCCATGAGTCACAGGTTGACCCGGGCGGGGGTGGCGCTCAGCCTCCCAGCTTCCTGCCCTGCCCCCCCATCCCTCTCGGGTGGAAAGGGTTTCCTGTGTCAGCCTGTGAGACCTGGGGCCCTCTTGCCGATCCCCCTTGCCACCCTTCTCTGGGGTCCTAGAAGATACATTTTATGACCATTAAAGCTTTCATCTCTCTGTTAGGAACTACGGATCACAGCGGACCCGTGTCACTTTCATGTAATGTAGGGCAATTGCTTAAAAGATTTCCAGGCCTTCCCTTTTTGTTCTGACAAGTGCAAAAGCTGCCAGCAGTAATTGTAACATAATTGGAACGGGGCTGCCTCCATTCTCTTTCTTCCGCCGTCTCTGAAGACAGGACAGGGTAGATTTTTCAAGGCACGCGCGGCCCCGATTCCCACCCTGTGCTGCGCACACGGGACCCTGGCCCCCGCGGTCTGGTCCCTTCCACTTGCCCCTTCCTCAGGGAGACGATGGATGGCGCTGGTGTCCTGGTCCCTGCCTGCTCTGAGCAGGGCTGAGGCCTCCCTCCTGCCCATGTGCCTCTCCCACCAGCCCTTGGCGTTCAGGCGAGAGGTTCCCCTACCTTGCCACTCCCTCTGAAGTTTCTTTTTGACTTAATTTTTATTTTTTAAAATATTTATTTATTTAAAGATTTTATTTTGTCAGAGAGAGAGAGAGAGAGAGAGAATGCACGAGTGCACTAGCAGGGGGAGCGGCAGAGGGAGAGGGAGAAGCAGACTCCCTGCTGAGCAGGGAGACCGATGCGGGGCTCAATCCCAGGACCTTGGGACCATGACCTGAGCCGAAGGCAGGGGCGCTTAACCAACTGAGCCACCCAGCCACCCCTCGACTTAATTTTTAAACTGTTGTTTCCTGTTCTTGCTTTTCTTTGTGTGGCTTAAAAAGATTTTACTTTATTTTACTAGCACAAGGTAGCAGGAGACACTGGAGATCTTCGTTCTGCTCACTCAGATACTTCGGGAGCCAGAGGGACGGCAGGTACCCACGCCGAAGACCTGAGTGTGGGGATGGCTGATGCTCAGCACCTGATCATACAAGATGCAGACCTTAGGAAACATTCTCCTTGCCCTTCCTGGAGTGCTTCCTTGCCTGAGTGTGGGGATGGCTGTTGCTCAGCACCTGATCATATGAGATGCAGACCTTAGGAAACATTCTCCTTGCCCTTCCTGGAGTGCTTCCTTGCCTGTTTCAATCTGACCCATTGGTCCGGGCACCTTCTCCCCACAGCTCCGGCCAGTCACAGGCATCCCGACACTCCTAAGTTCCCTCATTGTGAGAGTTTCTGCCTCACATTCAGGTTTTAATCCTCATTGTATTGTGTTGTGATCTCATGGTTTCGCCTGCCTCAGTAGCTTACCCCCAGAGAGGAAGCCAGAGACGGTGGATTGTCCGTACTTCATGTAGGTGTTGGAGACATAGGAAGATTTTTTTTGAGCTATCAGTTTGAGTTTTGAGCATTCGATTGCTATACACATGTGCCATATGTTTCAAACTATTTTCAGCACGTCCCTCCTTTCCCCTCAGGCTGCCTCTGGGCGCTGGGTCAGGCAGAAAGTATTACCCTCAGCTGGTTCTGCGCCCTTTCCTCCAGCTACCCCCCCACGGTGGGGTCAGGGCAGGGCTTCATCTCTTTACTTCTAGCCGTTTCCCACCCTTTAGCACTTCCTTCACGGATGAGCAAGGGGAAGGCAAGGCAGGCAGGCGAAGTTTCTGCACCTGGGCTTTGCTGCTATGTCATGGAACCTGTGAAGGTCACGGGCTGGAGGGGAGCCAGGCTGGGGGTTTCTGAACGCCGCTTCTGCTAGGAGGCAGCTGTGTCTCTCGTCATCCAGCTGAGCATGTGGGCCAGCAGCCCCAGCAGCCCCGTGACCTTGGGCCCATCATGGCACACGTCCACACCACCATCCATCTCACTGGCAAAATGGTAGAGCCAGAAGGAATACCTCCATGCTTGCTTCCAGGGCAAAGCCATCATGTCTGTGGTCTGATTCGGGTTTTAACTAGAAACTGTTCAAACACCCAAGTCCATGAGGAAATCCTTAAAGGGGAAAGTTTATCCAAAAGTAAAAAAGTATGGCATTAAACGAGGTGGTAATTTCTACCCCCCCAGTGCACTAATGCACTCGTTTAAGGCTTGGAGATCATACACGGGAGTGAAAGAAATCATTTTGTCAACTCTAAGTCATAAGCAGTGAGAAGCGTTCCAATCACTGCTGGGTTGTACTTGTCATCGCATGAATGGCAGCCACATCGAGCGGCCTGTCTTTGTGACTTTTTTCCAAGGAGGATGTGGGCAGGAATGGTTCTGGTGTGATTGGTCCATTCTAATGCCATATTTCAGGTCTCAGCTCTTCTTCTCTGCCCTATGTCCTTAGAAAGCACTTTCTACCATGATCTTTCGGGACATCAAAGCGACTCAGGAGCCCTTGGGGACCGCTCAGCCTTGTGGCCAGCCCTGGAGCAGACGTGGCCGTCCCAGCCCAGCCTGCAACAGCCCTTTCCCCATCCAGCAGGAGGAAGTGTGGGGCAGACCGGGGTCCCTGTGCCTCTTTATTCGGTTCCTAGGACTGGTGGCAGCCTGGCCGTGACAGGGACTCCTGGAGGAGGAGCCTGGGAGGAAACCCAGCAGATCTACCCACCCGTTGGTAAGACCTGGGTGAGGAGTTTTGAAGGGGAGGAAGCAGAAGAGGGAGGTGGAGGGACCCGTAGGAGGAGGTGGGGTCAGAGCCGATAAAGCCCTGAATGGTGGGCGTGTGCCTGACTGAGGGCCTGCTACGTGGCAGCCCTGGGGCTGGTACTTTGCATGTGTCCGAGGGACGCTGCTCCCTTCCTTTGCAGTCTGCCTCTCCACTGAGACAAGCGTAACAAGGCCAACAGCAGTTCCTCCAGCCCTCCTCTTGGATACATAGTTTCTAGAAGAGAGGTTGCAGGGTGGAGGAAGGAGGGAAATGCCATCTGCTCCTCCAGCTGTGTCGTCCTGCACCCAAGAGCTCACTGTCAGGGGTCGCTAGCAGAGGCCCACTCTTCTGTCCCACCCGCAAGGGTGATGATGGGAAACAGAGGGGCTGAATGTGGTGAGCCGTGCTGAGCAACACCAGGGGAGCGCTGGATTAGATCTTCGACCTTCTAAGATAATGTCCTGTCCAAGACAGGAGGCTCAAATGGAGGGAAAGTCGGGAGGATCCCTGTGATCTAGCTCCATGTGGCCCTGGTTTCCAGGATTCCTAAGGAATGGCTTGGCTTGGAGTAGAGGTCAGGTGACCAGCATGTCTTTGGGCAGCTGGAATTGAGAGGGTTTTGTATGTGGACTTCACATAAATGTGACCCACTTGGGGTCATGGGCTTGGACCTGCAGCTGCTTGGCAATTAGAAAAGCTGACTGTGTCCCATTCCTTCTTCAGGTTAGATAGGAAAAGCTCAAGTTCAAATCACGATGTTTGTTTGTGTTTTGTGCCATAGGAGAGAACACAGTGTCTCAAGGAAGTTTCCAGCATCCTGATAGTCAAAATGTTGTTTCCCAACCCCAGGTGAGAGGACAAAGCACAGCAGATGCCTACTCTCATGCTTCAGGTTTTTTCCAATGGCCCAGATTTCTTAGCCATGTGCAGACTCCTTCCTCTGCCTGGTACCTGCTCTCCCTTCCATACTGTACCTTGTTTCACCAAATCCTAGTGGTGGGGAGGAGGGCCATGTTCTTGACACAACCAGTGTCCATGGGGGGAGGGGTGGCAGGGTCGAGTTTTGTTTTGGCCTCAGAGATCTCTCACACCCTCTCCTCACCTGTTGCACCAAACACTCACCACACCCTGCCCTGTCATGGGGGACTCTTGATGCTTATTTCTTTATTGTAATTTTTACCTCACTTTTTTTCCAAGAAGGATCTATGGCAGCTTTTATGTCTTTTCTCCTCAGTTAGGCTAGAAGGTCTTGGAGGTGGCCCTGCCTAATTGACCGTGTTAGCTAGCAGTCCAGCGAATGCACCCTTCCCCCAACAATGGGTATTTGAGATGTTCTTCAGTTTTACCTGAAGGCTGGAGGGTTTCATTGTATAAATTTGATCACATAAATAGTGGTTACATCCTATAAATGTCTCAAGTAGTAATGGGGCTGTAGGACTTAAAAACTTTTATGCTTTCCTTATTTTTTCTGACTGAAATGTACTGTAGTACATTATTGTTATAGAAAACTTGAAAAATAAAGAAAAAGTATCATAAATCATCAATCAAATATCACTCATATGTTTCTAAATGTTTATAGAAAACTTTATTTCCTATGTTATTTAATACTCTAAAATGAGGTTTTCCATGTCATTCATAAATGATTTTTATTTTTATTATTTTATTTTATTGTTATTTTCTTTTTTTTTAAATTTATTTTATTATGAGAGAGAAAGAGAGAGCATGCCAGCCCAAGTGGGGGGGGGCAGAGGAAGAGGGAGAAGCCAACTCCCTGCTGAGGGAGCCCTATGTGGGGCTCAACCCCAGGACCCCAGGATCACAACCTGAGCCGAGGCAGACACTTAACTGAGCCACCCAGGCACCCCTATTTTATTTTATTTTTGAAGATTTATTTATTTGAGAGAGTGCGAGCGAGCATGCAAGGGTGGGGGAGGGGCAGAGAGAAACTTAAGCAGACTCTGCGCTCAGCATGGAGCCGTCCATGGGGCTCCATCTCACCACCCTGAGATCACCACTTGAACAGAAACCAAAGTCAGATGCTTAACCGACTGAGCCACCCAGGTGCCCCCATTAATGATTTTTAGTATTGGTATGATCAAGTCCATTATGTGAAAGCACCATCATTCATTCATTCACAAATCCCAAGTTCCTACAATATCACCAGCACAGTCACAGGGCTGGGGACACATGGGGAACCAGACAAAGCCTACTCCCATGTGCTTCTGTTTAGTGGAGGTGACTTAAATAAACAACTGTGTGCATGAGGGATTTTACTTTAGATGGGCTGGCCGGGGAGGGCCCCTCTGGGGAGGTCTTGAGCAGAGGTCAGAATGCAGGGGGCAGACGTTTCAAGTGTGTCTCTCTTCCTCCTCTCTCTTTGATTTCCCTTCCCTTCCCCTCACGTGTAAAACACAATGGTGGACATTCTAGTGATGGACGTGCAAGCCTTGTGTAGTTCTTGAATTACTCAACCGGGAGAAATTCCTAGAAGGAGAGGTCCGACGGCTGAGGTTTGAATCCTTGCTCTGCCATCTCCTAGCATGTGGCCTTAGACAGGTTGCCTAATCCTTCTCTGTCTTAGTTTTCTTATACGTAAAATGGGATGATAATAACCCACCTCACAGGACAGTTGTAAGGATTAAACGAATCACTATATGTAAGTGCTTAGAACAGTGTTTACTACCTAGTAAATGCTGGTACTCAGAATAAAAATTGAAGCTTTTTCTAGATTTGCCAAAGTATTTTCAAGGGTTGTACCAATTATGCCTTTTTGGAGTATAAAATGTGAATATAACACAAAAGGACAAATATGGTGTGATTCTGCTTATATGAGGTGCCTAGAAGAGGCAGATTTACGGACAAAAAGAGTAGAGGCGACTAGGGGCTTAGGGGGAGGGGAAAATGGGGAGCTAGTGTTTAGTGGGCACAGAGTTTCTGTTGAGGTTAATTAAATGTTCTGGAAATGGATTATTAATGGTGGCTATACAACATTGTGAATATATTGATGCCACTGAATTGCACACTTAAAAATGGTTAAATCGGTGAATTTTATGCTATGTATATTTTCCCACACACACAAATACAAGGGCACATCAGCATATTTTGCTTTCCTCTGTTGCATTTGTTCGCAGTTGATCTTGAACAAGTCTGCTAGGAATGAGCTCTCGGTTGAGTGAGGGTCAGTTTCTGTCCTTTTGGGTGTGTAGGTACCCGTGGGGTGTGTCCTGTCCTGCTTCCTCTCCACCGGGGGCCTTCCACATCCTCTGCTCCAGGCTTCGGCATAATTCTGGAACTTTGATGTGGGGAGGGAGCACAGCGGCCGGAAGCCCAGAGGATTAGGGGATAACACAAGGACGGCGATTGGGCTCTGGCCTTGTCCGGCGGCCTTTGGCAAATCATTTCTCCTAGCTAAGCCTGATTTCCTCGTCAGTAAAATGTGAGCCTGTGAGGCTATCCCAGTGATTTACTGAGCGGGGCTGGTGAGGGAGAACGTGTGATTTGCCCTCATAACCCGTCAAGTGCTATAAAAACGTTCATTCTTATGTTCTTTAATCCCAGGTGCCAGCGATTCCCAGATCACGAAATAATTCTGAGAGTTCCACTGTTTCAGTCAAGGAGGATGAGGAGGAGTCCTCCGATGAGGCAGATAAGAAATCTTCCCAAAGCCCGGCACAGAAAGAAAAGCCGGGAGACGAGAAAGAGAACACGAAGGTGGACGGTCTTGTTCTGTGGTCCCCTTCCCAAATGGTGTGTGTGTGGGGGCAGGCTTGGGAACCTAGGCTTTGGCAGGGCCTCCGACTCTCCACCATCGTACTGGGGTGGGCCTGTCTCCTAGTCAGCAGGAGAGGCACACCTGTAGGCCCTAAATCTCCTCCTTTCCCTTCCAGAGCTCCGGGTTTGGCTGGTTCAGCTGGTTTCGCTCAAAGCCCACCAACAACGCATCCGCCTCTGGAGAAGACTCATCTGACGGTCCCGACTCTGAGGTAAGTGAAAGGGCCCCGGGGGCAAGGACCCTTCCTCTCCTGTGGGCCCGTTGGAGGAAGTTTCCTCAGAGCCTCTGAGGCCCGGAGCTGGCATCTGGCAATTGGCAAAGGCCAACTGGGTCTTAAAAATTAGGACGAAGTATATTAACTTTAGGGCACCAGTAGTTGTTTGATTACTGAGCAGAGGGGTGGCACGAGAGTTTTGGGGTGAGTCCCTGGCCACAGGTCACAGGTTGAGGCCGCTGTTGTGGGCATGAATTTGTTAGCAACCACTACCTCCAACTCTGCCTGTCTTTCTCCACGATGCAGGAGACCTCCAGAGCATCTTCTCTCCCTGAGGCTGGCCCTGGCTTCACACTGACCTCTCTCCCAGAGCCCCAGTCTCTGCCGGGCACCTTGTCTGGAGCGACAGGTACTGCCAACCTCATGTCCTCTGGGTCGGTGGGCTCTCTGGGTCTGAGGTACCTCAGGCCTTGGGGGTACCTTCTGAGAGTGGGGCTTCCTCAGCCCTGAGCAGTGGAAACAGCTCTGACTCATTGCTTTCCAGGTGAGGGCCAAGTCCGAGGATCAGCATCCTGTGGGGGAGCAGCTGAGGGCACTGGGAGTGAAGGCCTGTCTGGGCCTGAGGTGAGCAGCCCATGGGCTGGAGCTTAGGGCCCCACCAGAGGCCTGTGTGTGCGAGGAGTGAACATTCAGTGTGGGCTGGAGATGCCACCCGGTGAGGGCAGAAAGCTTCTGTAGTAGTCTGTTAGGGCCACCATGACAAAATGTCACAGGCTACAGTTTAAACAAAGTGATTTCCTCGCAGCTCTGGAGGCTGGAAGTCTGAGGCAGGGTGTCGGCAGGGTTGGTTTCTCCTGAGGCCTCATTCCTTGGCTTGTAGATGGCCATGGCTTTCACAGGGTCTTCCCTCTGTGTGTCTGTGTCCGAACTCCCCCTTCTTATAAGGGCACCAGGCATATTGAATTAGGGCCCACCCTAATGCGCTCTTCTTACCTTAATCACCTCTTTAATTTTTTTTTTTAAGATTTTCTTTTTAAGTAATCTTTACACCCAACGTGGGGCTTGAACTTACAACCCTGAGATCAAGAGTCACATGCTCTACTGATTGAGCCAGCCAGGCACCCCCTCAAACACTTCTTCAAAGACACTACCTCTAAATACATTCTGAAGTACTGGGGGTTAGAATCCCCATATAGGAAGTTTCGAGGGGACATGATATCGCCCATAACGACTTCCTTAGGTGAAGTCTAGGGAACGGCCTTTTCCCTGTCCCAGAGTTCACCAGGGACTTTGGCAAGGACTGTAAAAAGTTCCTGATGAATCGTCCACATGGTACGGATTTCATGCCAATTGCTAGGAAAACATTTTTATTTTCCTGTGGTTGGGTTAGAGCACTCTTGCAGTATTTTAGGCCTTTCCGAGAATATGATATTACTTTTTATGATGCTATCAAGAGAATTGACTGTGGCTTTTTCTTCTCACTCGCTCCAGGTACAGGAGCCCCTGAGCCTCTGCTTTTGCCACCCCAGACCCAGGGGTTGGCCGTGCCCACTTGAATCATGTTTGTTTGCTTGAATTCTCTGAGGTCTATCAGGAAATCCTTTTCATCTGTATCTCTTGGCCAAAGTTGACACTCAAGGGAAACCCTTGATGTTCTGGAACCAGAAGCGGCGACTGATAGGATTTTCTATTATTTTCTATCACAGGCTGTTTCCTCTGAGCTTTACTTCAACCCCGGTGTTCTGCTTCCCCCAACACCCTTGAAAGGAAGTGTTCCTCTCTACAACCCATCTCAGGTCCCCCAGGTAAGGGAGCCCTGAGGGAGAGGGGTTAGGAGCACAAATTTTGGATGAAGGCAATCCAAGTTTATATTCCTTGTTTGCCACTTACTGTGTGTGGGTTCTTGCACAATGACTCACCCTCTATAAGACTCAGTTTCTGCATCTGTAAAGTGGGGTTAGTAGTAGCCACCTTGCAGGGGAGGCGTGAGGATGAAATGGGAGCATGTGTGTGAAGGGCCTCAGTTAGTGTCACTATTAGTAATACCACTCTTGACCTTTCAGAGGTCTTGAGACTTTGAGAGACACATAGGTGTTGGTACCAGTGGTGTGGAAATACCATCACTCCACCTGGGGGTGTCGGGGATCATTGCAAACTTTGAGAGAAACTAAACTCCCTGTCCTTCAGTGACCTGGGAGTAGATTGATTGCTCTTGTGTACCCATTTGGCCTCGTCTCTTAATAAAGTTGAATTTCTTTTGCTATAGTTAAGAGGTGCAGATGTTGGGTGAAAGTAAGTAATTAGAATATCGCCATGGGAAGCCAAATGCAGCCTGAGTGTTCTAGACTTAGGATGCCCTAGCTCAGTCCAGCCAGCCAGCCCTGGATGGAGTCCTGCTTGGAGCTATAATCTCAGGCAACCTTTTTTCTTTTCCAGCTCTCCATGGTTAGTAGCTTGAACCGACCAAATCGCCTAGCTCAGCGCCGCTATCCAACCCAGCCATGATGATAACGGCCACCCGTCGCAGGCTGGTCTCCTTCCTTGATTTCCAACTCCTCTGCCATATTGGGGCCCCCAGGAGGGTCCTGCTGGCCTATTGCCTTCACTGGGACAGGCTCTTCCAGGACACAGCTCAGTCCAGTCTCTTAACATTAGCTTCAGAATGATGGCTAGTACCACGTCGGATGGAAAAGCTGGGTAGAACAGCAGACCGGAGGTGAGCAGCATGCCATGGCGGGAGCATTCAGGATGGTAGCTTCAGATCCTCAGGAGAGTCAAGCCGACTCGGAATTCCCTCGGCTGGAATCAAGGCGAACCCACTGGGCTTTGCGGCAGGAAATTATTTGGGGGAGGGGCCCAGAGCGATATTCATGACCAATGTTGACGCATTCCTCAGTCTTAGTTATAGACCAATTCACGGATCTAGTTAGCAAAGTTTATATGCTGAAACTTGATTATTGCTTCCCGGCAGAGCTCCCTCCTCACTGACATTTCAGCAGTTTCCCTCTTGGTCCTAGTTTTGTGCATATTTTTATGTGCTTCAGATTAATTATATTTCTCTCACTTTCTTAGCTGGTCCTATTTTTTCACATTCTGGCATCTGGCTATCAAGTCAGATTGCTGTAGGCATCATATTGTCATGGTAACTACTGAACCTAATGATGCAGATGGATGGAACATCAGTGTAATAAATGATGGGAAATGTTTCCTAAAAATTCACCCCTTCCATAAGAGAGGAGAATGAGTGCCTGATAGTGTTAATACCACCCTTCCTACCTCAGGCCTTTGCAAATGGATGTTGGGAGGGTCACTGGAGCCAGAGGGAGGAGGGGGACATCTTGGAAATTTCCAGTTCTCTTTTGAAACCCAAAATAGGGATGACTCTTGCTGTTTGTCAGATTTGCTGAAAATTTCTCCTCACAAAGGATGTTTTTTCTATGTGTAATTGTACATACAGGTTTTGTACTCTAATGTACTACAGTTCTGATGTTGATAGCGATTAAACCAGATAACTTTATAGCAAATGCTTGTCTCTGGCTGATTTTTGCAGAGGGAGAGAGCACACTGAGCACACTCTTCCCTCAAGTGCTTCTAATAATGGTTTCATTGTGTGATAAGGTGCGTATATCTGGAAAGAGCCCTTTGTTACGAAGAATCGGGACTGATCCTCTTAACTTCCAAGTCTACTCTAATGTTATTTTTTTCAATTTAGAAAATAGGGACAAAATGCCTCTGATGCAAATCACTCACTCCATTAACTAAATATTGCATTTTCTGTTCCCTCAAAAGTTTCTTCATCTCTCAAATTAGGAAATGTATGCGTAAGTGTTTTTTGGACTGAGAGGGCCCTTGGTAAATGCCGTTGCCTTATTTCCCCTAAAAGACCGCTGCCTTCGGTTTGGTATGCTGACACCCAGTGGCGGTACTATGGTAGCTGTATGTGAGTTTCAGAGGAACCAAACGATTTTGACTTGGATCTCAGCGCATCCACAGTTCACCCACATCAGGCTCTCTGCTCGGCGGGGAGTCTGCTGCCTCCTCTCTCCCTCTGTACTCTCTCTCTCTCAAATAAATGAAATCTTTAAAAAAATTATTAGTAAACAATCTAATAAGTACAATCCAGACTGTCTCATTACCTACCAAATTAAACTCTGGATCTTTCATTCATGATATAGGTAATGGAACAATAATTTAAAACTACTTCTTGGGGCCCCTGGGTGGCTCAGTAGGTTGAGCATCCGAGTCTGGGTCTCGGCTAAGCTCATGAGCCCAGGGTTGAGCCTTGCATCAGGCTCCACGCTCAGTGGGGAGTCTGCTTGAGATTCTCTCCCTTTGCCCCTCCCCCTGCTTGTGTGTGCATGCAAATCCTCTCTCAAATAAATAAACAAAAATAAATCTTAAAAACCCTACTACTCAATAGGTATCCTAATTACTAAGCTAGTTTCTCTTCCTGCATCCTGCCACCAATGCTAGGTCATGTGGCTTAGTGCCCCTGGGAACAATGGCAGAAGGGAAGGCCTCAGAAGCTCTTTAGAGGAGAGTGAGGACCGAAGAGGAAGGCAAAGACCTCAGAGGCCTGTGTACTCACTTCCTCCTCCCATCGGGAAAATTCCTGGAAAATCCGTGACTGAAACATCACCAGAGCCAGCACTGAACTGAGTTACCTCCTAGGCAAAGGGCTACACAGCAGTGAACGACATTTCTGAGGGAAAGTCAGGGGGCTTTATGCGCTAGAAAGGGAAGAGGTCATGAGATTTATGCTAATTCACGATGGACAACTTGTGCTCTGCAAAGTCAGAGTGCATCCATTAATCTGCATGTGGTTGGTTGAAACAAGTCCCATTGTTCATTGGGCAGGAAAGAGCCCTCAGCTGGGTCCGGCAAGGTCTGATGACCAGGGTCACTCAGAGTTCTTGGTTGTTTATCAGCTTTTTTTAGTGGTGAGTTTGCTAAAGGTCCTGATTCTTTTACAGCTTCAGCTGGTTCGAACCAACTGTGGTGAAAGCAAGTGCATCTGTTTCCTTCTTTAGAACGTGAAAGCTTGGGGAGCAGAGCAGGTTGTGAGCGGAGCTGCTGGGGATTGGGGAACCTGAGAGCACGGGGCTTGGGGCCCTTTCCTCATCCGTAGCTCCGGGAAGGCTGCCAGCCTGGAGAAGCTGGCTCGGGCCTGGCAACTTGTCCAATGTGGCTTGAGAGTCATAGAAGCTTGGCCTCGAGGCTGGCCATGGCCTGAGGCAGAGCTACTAGCCCCTACGGCCTGGCATATGTGGACGCCTGCAGGGAATGAGGGCCCAGTGTCCCTCAAGGCCACAGGGGACCAGCTGTGTCAGGGCAGGGCAAGGGTGGGCCAGACCAGCCACCTGCTTTCCCATCACCAGGAGCCGTTTTGGGGAGCGAGGATGAGCAGAATTCTCTAAGGGAAGCCTTTACCGAGAGACCCCGCTTGAAAGAGAAGAGCCTGAGATATTAATTGGCAAGTTTGTTTTCTCCCCTAGTCTTCAATGGGGTGTGAGCTTGGAGGAAGAATATTTACGGGGAACAAAAAAGCTCCATTTTCCTTAAATTGAGTGGTGATGTGCAAGCAAGATCCTGCAATATACATAATATTTATATGAAAACATTTAAACTTAATGTTCAGTAATTTGGAAGAGAACAAACCATTACACTCCATGTATGTGTCTTTATCACATATCACCATTCCAGGCTTCTGTCTAGTCCCCTTATTCGTCTAGAAAACTGCAAACCAGCCTGGCTTCCTCAGTCACCTGCGCGCCCTCCCCTTTCAGCCTTAACTCAAGCTTTAGGTCACTCAGGATCAAAGCCTCTGCGAGCTTTTCTTTTTTTTTTTCTTTCTCTTTGCTCTCTTCCTCTGGGCAACCAAGACAAAGAGCAAGAACCTGCATCCACCTCTTCACTAAAATCAGAGTATTTTCTTCCCAGGAGGAAATATGCAAAACAGTCTTTTGCTTGAAAGGAACAATAGGTGTGTAATTTGGGTCTGTGCACTCACAGGAGTTTCTCTGATACTCCCCCCCGCCCCGCCCGCCCCGGATAGTGGAATGGAAGGACTTTTCTACTCTTCTGTTTGCCATCTTAAGCTGGAAACTGCTAACATCATGATCTGCACACCACAGGATGCGGGGCACTCACCTGAGGTTGCCACGAAACGGGGCCCGCAACGCTGCCGGCTCTCGTGAGTGCTCGAGCCAGGTTCCTGCCTTTCAGGGTCCTCCAGAAATGGTTTAATGAGATGTGAGGTTATTTTGAATGAGGGTTAACAGCATACTAAAATGTTTTATTACAAGCTCACTAAGTAGAGGAATCTGCCTTCCATACTTTCTTCCTTTCTGTATGAATCTCCAGGTAATAGCTCTTCACTGGAACTAGGTCAACAGCAGCATAACTGGACTGACCTGAACAAACTGCTTGTTACTTGAACGTGAGGTGCTTTCCTGGTCTTTATCCACCTTAGAGCCGATTAAGTATCCAATTTTTAAAGAATCTCAAGAGAGGGGGATTCCACGGCTGCCCTCGAGGCAGCCCAGACTTTCACACCCTCGAACATTAGGAAGCGATTCCTAATACTTTATACCCAAATCACTCATGTGGCTCTTTAAGACTCTCAGCTGGTCCTCAGCGGAGATGGGGAACAGCTGCTTACCACCACCTGTGCTCAGAGCTCTTTCACATTCTGGAAGGCCATTAAATCCTGTCTCAGTTTATGAAATGAAGGTTCACAAAATGGGACTTTCTTGACTAGAATTGGGGATGAAACGACCTAAAGGCTTGGAGTTTTCTGGTAGGTTCAGTGGCCGGACATCCTGAATTCAATAATAGTAATAATACTTACTGAGTGTTTACTTTGTGTCAGGTGCTGTGGAATGCATTCAGTGAGGTGTCCGATATCATTGCAACATATTAGATATGGAGAATCTGGAAACTCCAGAGAGATTGAGTAATTTGTCCAAAGGCACACAGCTGGTAAGGAGGGAGCTGGGGTCAGAATCCAGGTAGTTTTTTATTTTATTATTTTATTTTTATTTTATTTTATTTTATTATTTATTTGACAGAGAGAGTAAGAGAGTACAAGCAGGGGGAGCTGCAGAGGGAGAGGGAGAAGCAGGCTCCCCGTGGAGCAGGATCCCAGGACCCTGGCATCATGACCCGAGCCGAAGGCAGACCCTTAACTGACTGAGCCACCCAGGCGCCCCTGCAATGAGATAGTTTTGGCACTTAAACTACTCATAGTCTACGGAGGGAGACAGACATGTAGACATAGAAATTACTACATAATGTGAGAATTTTATATTTAAAAACATGTTCAAAGAACTTGGTACCTTGATATCCCTTAATAACAGAGTGGTTTCATCTATTTATATAACTTGGGGGCTAATATGTAATATGTTCAAATTGTACCACCTCTCGTAGGCTAAGCTCAAAGTTCAGTTCGCTGCTCATGTATCCAATAGCAAATCTGTCAGCCAACGTTTGAAGTGGCGCTAAGGTGGGGTGGGTGTGCAGGCCATCTGAAGGAACAAGAGTAATAGTGCGCTGGGCTCACAAGTACAAGGGAACAATGACATCTGAAAGAGAGAATCTGATTTCAACTTGCCAGACTGCCACACAGCATCCCCTCTGGCTTCTTCCTGCCCTTTGCAGGATTCTGAATCAGGACAAGACTGACTATTGCAGTGGAGATCTCTGAAGGGAAGGGTTCCAGGCAGGGCACGTGTGATTGTGTGTGTGTGCACATGCGGGGCCGCCATCCCAGGAAGATGCCTTCTCAATGTGTTTCTTCACCTAGGCTCCACCCCTGCCTTTGATTTCCTCTTCTTCACAATTCCTGTTTGCTCCCAAGAGAGGATCATTGAGAAGCTTCTTCATTAAGCATCATCCAAGTGGCTGATACTGTGTAGATACCCATGGAGTCCCATTGACTAGAATAGGATGTAATGGATCCTTCGTCAATAAATCCAGACATTTGGCTAGAACATTTTAGCTCATTTCTTAGGTTCCTGCAAATGGGTTTTTGGAAATCAAACGTCTTGACTTTTAAAACTTGTCTCTGAATTCTAGGAGCCCATTGGGGAAAGTAAGAGATGATCACTGTTTTTTGATTTAATATTCACTATTCTTGTGTTCTACAATCATGATTTAGGATCACAACTAGGCCTCATTGTCCTGGAGCAGAAATAATTTGAGTTTTGGGTTTCAAGATCTCATTGCCATTTCTTTGGATATTTAAATAAATACCCATGGATTAAAGAACAAAGCAGGGCCTCCCAGTCACGACTTTTTAATGTAATTTTTCAGTTTCTTCTCTTTGCAGACGGCAACAACCCTCTAGCCCACAGATGGTGTTGGCCATTCCGATAACACACGTCAGTTAATATCTTAAGTCAGGATCCAGCTGCACGTGCTTTGTGTAACAGGTATATTGCCGACAAGTTGCAGATACACTGACATTTGCTAAATCAGTTTTTAAATGCACTAGGGTAGTTTGCAATTTAAAGATAGTTGATGT